TCGATTTTAAAAAAAAATTACATAGGAAAACATAGTGATGTATACATTTGAGTAAATATGGATTTATGGATGTATAAATTTGAATATGGTTTAATTATAATCTTAAAATAATATTTTATATATTATATAGATACTAATTTTCAATTGAATAGTAAGATTGTGATTTACTATATATTTGTTGAATTAATAAATAGATAGAGAAATTAGTATAAATTAATATAAGTACCAAGAAAATCAAATTACTAAATGTGTTTATTTTTTCATGAAATTATCTTATCTGATATATTGTATGTATGAGAAGACGCAATGGTATAGAATATTTATAGTAGACTAAGTTAGGTCAAAAAAATATTGGTGGCCAAGCATAATATATTTAATACCATAACAAAACTGGTATCAAATCTATGTAGTCCTTTTTGTTTAGAAATATCCGATGATTACGTTATTATGAAGAGTTATTTAAAAATAAGGTATTAAAACACAAATACTCTTCGGATTTAGGCACTCGACGAATATGTTCGGATTTAGGCATTCTTGCAATGCCAAAAAGTCGATTTTGCCCTTAGTTTGATGACGTCAAATAATGGATCTGGTTTCGAGTTGAAGAACAAAATTAATCCATAACCCGTAGATCTCGTTTTGCTCCCCAGATTTCTAATTCTCTTTGGATAATGAATGATGTTGTTTTGTTTGGTTAATTCTTCTCATCTACCTCTGCATCTTCATTTGTTAAATCTGGCACCGGAATCGGTTCCGATCTATGAGACTTCGAGAGTGTTGGAATTGGATTGCATGTACTTTAGCCCTCATATGAGCAACCCGGTGAGCCTATGGAGGAGGCTATTAGCTATGAAGAATACTTATTTGTTTCTATAGATTCGTTTTTGTGAATATAAGGAGGAATATGAAATACGAAGTGTATGCACATAAATATATTTATTACATATGTGCAAAATAGTAACCAAAATATCTATTTAGGTAAGTGAAGATAGTTAGTTTAGTGTAGATTGTTAGGATTCGATTAATCAAGCGAGATTATAGTAATAACTAATACAAACCACATATCTTTAAAATCGTAAACAAAAATTTGATCGTATGTAAGAAAACTTTAAATTTAATCGAGATTTAGGACCAAAATCGTTTCCTTAATATCTTTTATTAAATTTCTAAATCTTAAGAATTAAACCAATGTCTTTTTTTTTTTTTGTCATCCGAAATTAATTAGAGCTCAAAAGAGCCATTCCTAGGGAATGTTGTTTACAAATGTGATATGAAGCGGTTCTGTACGAATTTTTCGTGCCAAATGATCCGCTTTTACATTAGCATTACGAGAAATTAAAGATAAAGAGAAGGATGAGAATTCTTCCTTGTCGCTCTGAAATTCCTCCAAGTACACTGAAAACGCCGGCCATTCGGTTGGAGAAGACACCATCTTCATCAGATCAGAACAGTCTGTAAGGAACTCTACCTCTTGAATCTTGATTATCTGCACCAATCATACACTTCATCGCCCAAAGAAGGGCCTCGAACTTGGTATGTAATGGAGATAAACTTCGACGGAGATTTGCAGCTCCCATGGTTGGCGGCTCTCCGTTTGAAGATGTACAGAACCATCCTGTACCGGAGAACTTATCACTTTCTTTCCACGATCCATCCACAAAGCAACGATATCCTGAATAATTCGAGTCAAGTGAAGTATTCCCCACTCGAGAACGATTTACCAATTCCACAGTACCATGAGATTCATGATGAAGCTCAATTTGGGCTGACTGCCACAATTGTGCTTCTTTTTCAGCTAACCGTAATACCTCTAACGGATCTTTATCAATATTTTCAAAAATTTTGTCATTCCTTGCTTTCCATATATACCAGATAATCCATGGAAAGGCTGAAGAGTCAAGTTCCGAAGGTATTCTCCAAAATAAATAGTCCAAATTCACAAAAATAGACTCTGTTGGAAAAATTCTCATTGCCGTAGGAATCTGAGAGAGTGCCCAAACCTGTCGTGCCGGGTGGCACTGAAAGAGTGTATGATTGATTGTTTCCACTAGTTCGCCACATCTAGCACAACCTGTATCACAATCAATTCCCCTTCTCCGCAAATTTTCCGTAACTGGTACACAACCCGTTAAAATTTGCCATAAAAAATGACGTATCTTAGGTGGACAATGCACTTGCCAAGAATGTGCTTTTAACGGTGTGATGTCTGGTCCAATCAATGAGAAATTTGTCTCCAAATCTCCTAACCGTGCGGTATGATATCCCGATTTGACTGTATATTTTCCGGATTTTGTAAAATGTCAACCCAGTGTATCCTCCTTAGTTGGCGCACCCACAGGCATGGCACTTATAATGGCGATATCTTCTGGATCAAAGATCTCCTCTAAAAGAGAAATATTCCAAAAATTCGACCGACTATCTATAAGATTGTTAACTTTTAACAATGGGTCAACATGTGAACCATTACTCTTTGCTGGTCTCGGAAATTGTGCTGGAATCCAGGGATCCTCCCAAACTGAGATGGATTTCCCAGATCCGACCCTTTTAATAAGTCCTTTATTAACCAGAGATCTAGCTGAACAGATACTACGCCATCCATATGATGGGGAATATGATTTAATATTTTCCAAGAGATTGGATTTCCGAAAATACCGCCCTTTAAACACCTTCGCAAAAAGAGAATCTGGAACCGTAATCAACCGCCATAATTGTTTAGCTAATAGGGCTGAATTAAAATCGTCTACATTCCGAAAACCTAACCCTCCTTCTGATTTACTATTGCACAACTTGTTCCAAGCCATCCAATGCATACCTCTAGATGTCATTCCATTGTAAATACATTTCAAAGCCAAGGTATATACTGTATAGGTATTAATCTAATTGCAACGAATGTGAGTCAAATTTAACAAAAAAAATGACTCAAAACTATATTAATATATCCAAAAAAAATGAATGAAATTTAATTCAAAATGTTTAAATTATAATACATGTGAATTACATCACAATGATGTAAATAAAATAAAATAAAAAAAGATCTTGATTGAGGGGTTTTAGAAATCCAAACCAAATTAACTGAGTGGTTTTAGAAAACCAGACCAAATAAAACAATCGGTTCTTGAAAGAGGGCAAAATAGTAATTCACAAACCCAAACCATTAAAAACCCTAGAAAACAGGGTGAATAAAAAGGGTAGCGCCTTTCTTCTCTTCGTAACTCATCATCTTCTTCATTAGTCCCTCTTTGTTTGTTTCTATCGTTTTTGTTTGTTTTTGATAATAAAATCTGCCTCCTTGAGTAGCTTTATGAACCCTAGTTATTAGGCAATTTCATATTTATTGGCTTAGTTAGGAGGCGTATATCAATCTGATCATCAATACTTTTCTGTATTGTTTTGATTTGTGGCTTTTTGTTTTCTGGAGAAGCTTCTGGTTTTTTTAAACCTATCAAGCTTCTTCACTAAAAGTTTCAGACATCAATTTGGGAATCTACGTATGTATATAGTATGTGTTATGTATAGCCTCCGAATAACGAGAAGGTGAAATATAGGAACACCTTCTGGTTCAGACAGAGGCTTATATCAAAACTCGAATCAGTTTTTGTGAGTGAGAAAGCTCTCTCCTTTTTTACCCTTCAAATTCCAATATCCTTTCATGGATAGATTCGAATATCTCTCTGCTGAATTGTTTCTTCAAGTTTATTGTTTTATTGTTTTTGTTTTTTTACTTCTGATTAGACTCTAGTTTTCTCTAGGTTACTTTGATTTGTAGAGGAATTGGCTTCAATAAGTGCCTAATGTATATATATCATTGTAATTAGGAACCGGAACACATTGTTTGCCAATGCTTTCACTTCAACTAGCCAAGTAATTTCAAGAAACAAAAGGGAAAAAATTTGATATTTTAGAGATGAAAATGGTATGTTTAGGGCATCTCCAATGGTGCTTCAAATCTTGCTTTAAACTCTATATTTGGTGTAAAATCACTCCAATGGTGCTCTATATCTTGCTTCAAAAATAGAGATATGAATAGTGTTGCTCCAAATTTGGAGCAACACTATTCATATCTCTATTTTTGAAGCACAACTTTTTTATTTACAAACTACTCCCTCAGTTTTAATATATTATAATTTTACACCTAAACAAAATTATATAACTAAATTTTATATCTCATAAATTTATATTAAAAATCATAGTTACTAAACTAATTTAAATTTTAAAATATAACAAAACATATATTAAATTAGAAAACAATGACATCACAAATGATAAACTAAAAATCACTAAACATCACAGATGAAAATACCCGATTTCAAGAATTTCTTTCTCGATATAAACAAATCAAAGACAAAGAAGCTCATTTCTCACTTCGAAATGCATTAGTCGATCATTTGTGGGAGAATTACGCTAATGATGAATCTTAAATAAAAATGTATTAATCTTTCGATTTTCTATTTATGTGCTGTAATAAAATTTTATTTTTAATAATATAGTTTTATTAGATATTAGTTTAAAAATAAACTATATGGGTAGAATTTGCAAACTTTGAAAGTGAAGGACTATATGAGAAATTAAAATAAAATATTAAAATAAAATATTTATTATAGAGCAAAAAATAGAACCAATTATTGGAGCAAACCATTGCTCTATTTTTAGAGAACTCCAAATTTAGAGCAAAAAATAAAGCCAACGGAGATGGTCTTAGTAGCAACTTCACTACCAAATGATAAACTCTAGTACAAGAAGATTCTGATTGGCTTTTGAAAAAGTTAAAACACAGTGCCTTGGATATCATGAGATAAGGTGACAAGTTGGAAAGCAGTGAATAGTGTTAGAAATCAGAAATTAACTTATTTATTGCTAGCTAAGCAAAGTTGGAGAACGTTGCAAATCTAAAATTTCTACTAGCAAATAGAATACAGAGCTAAAGCAAATACATCAAGATATTTGATAGCAGTCACAAAAAGCAGATTGCAGCAACATTATCAAGTCCAATGTGTCTCATGAAGAAGCTAACAACTTGTATCAATCCATTTGTAAACCAAAGATCAAACACTTTTGGGGGATGTTGCAAAAATTTCTACAAATATGGCCATATGGGAATTGACACCCTTATCAACTCTTCCCAGAAATGGTACTTCCAAGCCATTATATCCAAAGCTCTACTAGATCACAATGTTTGGAAATAATCTTACAACTGATTTAGTATAGAGCAAAAACCAAGGAAACAAAAACCTAAGAGCTTTCACCTTCAAGGCTGAGCTTCTCTTGTCTGCAAAACTTGATTCTTTTGGGAAAAGAAGAAGCAGCTTAATACACGTCCTCAACTATTGGCAAGAAACGTGAGAAACAAAGTTAGTAAGAATAGTTTTAGGGATACAATCTTAGTAAAGAAACAGAGAATAAAGATGACAATGCTTACATTCACCATCATCCTGATTATAATCGTCGTCATCATCATCAAAGTCTTGGTTCTACAAAACATTCAAGAACAAAATTGTTAAGTAACTTGAAGAAGAAGAATCACACAAGGCTTCTATTCAACATTAATAATCTGGAAAACAAGCAAAACCTGATCATAATCTCCATTATCAGATTCTTCTCCTTCGGATTCCTCAACTTCTTCATCATCTTCTCCTTCTCCTTTCACTTCATTGCCTTCAGCCTAACCAAACATAATCCAAAAACGTTACCGCAAAGTACTCCAAAAAAACCATTGAACTGTTTCTCTAGTACCTTAAACTTAGCTTCAAGCTTCTCAAACACATCCAATTTCTGCAAATCTGTGAAACAAAAACATAAAAACCTGAGCTTCTTGATACATTGTTGAAAAACACCAGAAACTAATAAACACAAAGTACCAGCTTCTTGACTCCATTTAGCTCTCTTCACTGGACGTTCTCTTCGAGTATCTGAAATCGCATAATATCCAATTATAATCAACAAATCAAAGATGAATCAAAACCCAAAAAAAAAAAAAAAAGTGTTGAGATGATGAAACTAAAACAAACCTCCAAGAAGTTCTTTAGGGAAGTTATCAGGTCTAAGAACAAGAAAATCAAAGAAAGATCCATTCTTATTAGACTTCATCTTGGGCTTCAACGAGTCTGAATACCTCTCAATGTCCAAACTCTCATTCTCTGATGATTGTAAAAAAAAAAGCTTTAAGCTTTATTTATTTTTTGTTCAAAGCTTTAAGCTTTATTTAAACACAGAGATAACAAAGACAAAAGTTGATACCTTTCTTAGAAACACCATCGCCTAAATGATAAGGAGAATTTCTCCAAAACTTATTGAAACTAAAGTAGGTTTGAACTAATTGCAAGTCTGTTGAGATTGATTTCGGATCAGGTAACGTAATATCCTGCCCAGAACAAGAAGAAAAAAAAAAACCTTAACACAGAATCTGCAATTGAAGAGATCAAATTTTGAAGACAAGTTTTTTGTACAACTTACAGGGAAAATCACAAAAGGCTCAGGCTTGCCATAATCGGCACCACCACCTTGTGGTTTTCCACTGCTTCCTCTCCAAGACATCGAATATTGATGTTTTAATTCACTTGGAAACAACTGAAGAAACTGTCATAAGAAGCACCAAAAAAGAGACAACAATCTGTTCATAATTTCAGACATAAACACCAAATTAAACATAAGAGATATATACAAATTACTTGTTGCTAATTTCCTCAATTCGAGTATGATAGATACCTCTACGGGATATGAATCTGAGCTTCGCCGCTTGTTTTCTTATGGCTTCTCACAACACCAACAATACGAAACCCAAAAACGAGAGTGTTTTCGAGAAAGAAGAGAGGAGATTGAAGAAGAAAAAAAAACTTTCTGAAATTGGGCCAACCCTGTTTTAGGTTAAAACTTTTAGCCCGAAAAATCTCTAATTAGGGCCCGGACTTATATTTATTTTAACGGATCCGGCCCGGACGTTTTACTTTTCAAAATGAACTCTCCGTAGGAAGTAAAAAATGTCACATGATTCATTATTCCAGCAAGATAAGATATACATTAATAGAAATATTATTATCATGAATGGCATCTCGACACCATCCATGGAGAATCAATCATCGTTATCCGAATCCTTAAAAAAGCAATACGAATAAAGGTCCGATCGCGTACAATCCACGGCCGGGCCTCCCTCTATATCAACCTCATTTATCGTCTTCTCCATCACCATTATGTCTAATATCATGAGTCAGCAATACAAGGATGTGAACGATAAATTAGGCTCGACGGCTAAACACAAAACCAACAGCCATGGCGGTCGTTATAATAATCCTTACGTCCACATTACTACTCCCACATCAGCTTCTGATAAGAGTAAGTCTAAACAATATGATTGTTCGTGTCTTAGTTAAGCTTATGATAAATCTTGATTGATGTATAATACATATAGGGTCCAAGGATAAGGTTTTTGAGGTGTTGAATCGGTGTGGGAAGAAAGTAGAGGACGTTACTCGCAAAGCGGAAGCATTAGCCGGCGGTTTAAAAGATCACCGTACGTGAGGGTTTATATATATACCTAAAACATAGATCTGATGATTTTTTTAACCATAATCTATATATGGTCTATGCATGAAACCGGACATGAACAGTGAAGTTTAGTCCTAGCATAGGTGATGCAGCAATGGCTAGGCTTTCTCAAGGCACTAAGATGATCGTTGAAGGAGGACCAGAGAGAGTGTTTCAACGAGAGTTTGGTGTTTTAGCTGCAGAGAAACTTTTAGATTCGTTTGTTTGCTACATATCGACTACTTCGGGACCAGTGACCGGAGTGATATACATTTCCAACAGAAGAATCGCTTTTTGTAGCGACTATGCCATTCGTCTTCCTTCTTCTGTCGGTGGAAATGGTGTTGCGGCATATTACAAGGTTAGACCATGAGTTTCAAACTTTTTTTTTGTTCCAGAAGTTTTGTTCATACTTAAAAAAATATCTTAGTTGGTAACAAGAATTGTTCTTTGTCAAATATTTGTTTTTATTTTGTAAAATAAGGATATAATAATTTGGTTTCTAAAGATTAGTGACTATATAATATATTGAGCAATATAACATTTATATGTGATATTTTAATGTTGTATTGATAGGTGGTGATGGAGTGGGAGAAGATACGTAGCATTAGTTCATCAACGAACGTGTTGAAGCCAAGTGAGAGGTATGTGCATATGGTGACACAAGATGGGTTTGAGTTTTGGTTCATGGGCTTTGTCTCCTACATCGATGCTTTCAATTGTCTCAGCAAAGCTCTCCTTAATTCCCGTTGTGATCGTGCCATGTAATCAAATTCTAATTAAGAATTTTATCATCACTAAAAAGTCTTTATATATCCAATTTGTAAGAATTTGGGTCGCCATGGTCTGGTCTAGTGACAAAACTTTGTAAAAAAAATTAAGGGTATTAGCAAAAAAAAATTATTAAGTAAATAACTCTTTGCACGTTATTTTATTTTAATCATGTTATCTTATCCCATGACACTTTTTATATCTTTATTTCTAAGCGAATTTAAGGGTTTTTTTTTTTTTTTTTGACATCAATGGATCGACAATGCCCGATCCATAGTAACACAATTATGCACAAGCACAAAAACTAATTTGATCAAATCTCATAAAATATTAATTTAATTTGTTTACAATTTTACCACCAAACTTTTTATCTGAAAAACTACAAAATCTACCACTTTTTCCCAATTTCTTTCAAAATCTATCATATTTCTTCCCTTCTTTCAACTCATACCACATTTCGATGTAGAGTTACCATTTTGCCCTCCCTATTTATCTTCCCTATTTATCTCTCTTCTCTATTTATCTTCCTCCATATTTATTTTCCCTCCCTATTTATCTTTCTTCCCTCGAAACATGTGCGCTTTAACCAAGAAACATTATATCTCCTCAGACTAAACAATTAACTTTCGTTTTTGTCTCCAGATCTTGTCCCCGATTGAGAATTCTCTATCCAGATCTTGTCTCTAGATCTTGTCTCCGATTTCATCATCTTGCTCTATTATCATCATCTTGGACTTGTCCTCAATCTAATTCTATTCCAGTTGTCCCCGAGTAAATCCAGATCTCTGGCGGGCAAAACTACACCATCTGGCGATGGACAGTCAAGAGAATTGGATGAAAAAACGCTCAATTTTTGATCTAATTATATTACTCATTCGATTTGACTTGACCCGATCTAATTCTATTACCCATTCGATATGGACTTGTCCTCGATCTAATTCTATTACCTAGTCGATCTGAACTTGTCCTCGATCTAATTCTATTCCAGTTGTCCCCGAGTAAATCCAGATCTCTGGCGGGCAAAACTACACCATCTGGCGATGGACAGTCAAGAGAATTGGATGATAAAAATCATCACGCTTAATTTTTGATCTAATTATATTACTCATTCGATTTGACTTGTCACCGATCTAATTCTATTACTCATTCTATCTGAACTTGTCTCCGATCTAATTCTATTACTCATTCGATATGAATTTGTCCCCGATCTCATTCTATTACTCATTCGATCCGAACATGTCCCCTCTTTTATCTGATATATTAAAAGAGCAATTAATGGTCTAACTCTACTCTATTATCATTTTTATTAATTAAATTCAATTATCTAGCAAATGTAAATGTGCAGCATTTATTGCAGACCTACCTGCTCCTTCTTTGGAAGCGCCGGACGAAACTGTCTCTGTCTCTGACACAGACTCTGTCCCAATCAGGGGTATTTTGGTCCACAATTCCGCATGTGCTATTGAAATGTGGTAGATTTTGCAATATTCACATTCATAATTTGGTCTTATAGTAAATCAACATTAACATTCGTTTTTTTTTTTCCGACTAAATCAACATTAACCTATAACCCAAAGAATAAAAAAAAATTTGGGTAACTAAGAGTTACAAACTTACACAAGTAACTTATCTGATCGATGGGTGTTAACTTGCCATTGAGATTTCGTAACAAAGGGTCCAACTCCAATCCCATAAGATACTATTACGAAAGATGTGTAATGAGTAATGACGCAACGTGGCAATCATGTATACCTTTAACGGCCTAGAATTCTGTAGATTGCACCAATCAACGGCTAAGATCTTCTTTTGGCTCTTAAACAAGTCATTGGCTGATTCAGTTTCCCAAGAAATGTCTCTGACATTCTGCAGTAGATAAGCCACTCTCTCTCTCTCTGAAGATTCATTCCCCCACCACTGAGGTTTAACTTATACAAATAGATCTTTTGGTTTTTGATTCATCGAAGAAGCAAACTCTGTTTTCATGGCTGCTTACAATACCAAACTCTGTTTGGCCTCTGTTTTCTTGCTCTTAGGGCTTCTCTTGGCTTTTGACTTGAAGGTAACTTTCATAATCATCTCTTCTTAAGTTTGATTTGTGTATGAAGTTTGGTGCTATGTTTCATTTAGATCCAATACTATCTATCTTTTAGTTGTGTAGTTACATAAAAACTATACTTTAAAACATTAAGACAAAGAAAGATCCAAACTTTGTTGACTAAAATCTTCTGGGTTTTGTCTTAATCAGGGTATATCAGCAGAAAATCTTACCAAACAGAAACTGAACTCGAAGATACTTCAGGTTTGAATCTTGTTTAATTAGTTCTGTTCTTCTGATTTCTCACTAATCAAGATTTTGATTTTTTTTCATTAGGATGAGATTGTGAAGAAAGTCAACCAAAATCCAAACGCTGGATGGAAAGCTGCTATAAATGATCGATTTTCAAACGCCACTGTAATGTTCTTTAAATCTTTATATGAGTGAGTAACAACAATCTAATAATATGATTCATGATTTTGTTCTTAAAAAACTTGTGTATGTTATAGGTTGCAGAGTTTAAGCGCCTTCTCGGTGTTAAACCAACACCGAAGAAGCATTTCTTAGGTGTTCCTGTTGTAAGCCATGATCCATCTTTGAAGCTACCTAAAGCTTTTGATGCTAGAACAGCTTGGCCACAATGCACTAGTATTGGAAAGATCTTAGGTTTGGTTTTAGGCATTTAGCTTTTTAACACCGTTTGAGTGTTCAATTGCATTTCGTTTATCGGTTACTAACTCTTGGTCTCTGTGTGTGTGTGTGTGTGTGTTGACTCCTCTATGAACAGATCAGGTAAAGTTTTAATCTTTTGTGTGTCTTGTAACGTTTAGATTTGTCTACTGGAATAAAGGGGTTTTATGAGATTTTGTGGTTTTGGTTTAGGGACATTGTGGTTCTTGCTGGGCATTTGGTGCTGTTGAATCACTATCTGATAGATTCTGTATCCAATTTGGCATGGTAAGAATACTAATAATCGATTCAAAAACCAACTCAAGATTAATAATCCAAAACCTAATCTAGTGTTTTTTTTCCTCAATTCAGAACATTTCTCTATCAGTAAATGATCTTCTAGCTTGTTGCGGATTCCGTTGTGGTGATGGTTGTGACGGTGGCTACCCAATTGCTGCTTGGCAATACTTTTCGTATAGTGGTGTTGTCACCGAAGAGGTAAATAAGATAAATGTCACTACAATCCTCAAGTTTGAAATTAGTTTAGTTGAAGTTTTTGGTAATGTATTATTGGTTTTTACTAGTGTGATCCATACTTTGATAATACCGGATGCTCTCACCCGGGTTGTGAACCGGCATATCCTACACCGAGATGTTTGAGGAAATGCGTTAGCGACAACAAACTATGGAGCGAGTCGAAGCATTACAGTGTCAGTACATACACTGTTAATTCTAGTCCACAAGATATCATGGCAGAGGTTTATAAGAATGGACCTGTTGAAGTCTCTTTTACCGTTTATGAGGTAATAAAGACCATAATCTATAGATTGTTTTGAATAAAAGTTAAAGAAATATGGATCATTAGTGGTTTGTTTTGATTAGGATTTTGCTCATTACAAATCTGGAGTCTATAAGCACATAACAGGATCTAACATTGGAGGTCATGCTGTTAAACTTATTGGTTGGGGAACTAGCAATGAAGGCGAAGATTATTGGGTAAATGTTATACATTTTAGCGAGTTTCTTATATCGAAAGTTTGAAATTAACCGAAAGTTTATAACGTTTTTGGTTCATTTTTTCAATTTTTTTTAGTTGATGGCAAATCAATGGAACAGAGGCTGGGGTGATGTAAGTTTTATTTGTAAGAAATTTACAAATAATTGTAGATTTGGTTATTTGTTTCATGAATGTTGTTGACATGTATGAAATTTGCAGGATGGTTATTTCATGATAAGGAGAGGAACTAATGAATGTGGAATTGAAGATGAACCAGTGGCTGGTTTGCCTTCAAGCAGGAATGTGTTTAAGGTTGATACCGGTTCGAATGATCTTCCGGTTGCGTCGGTTTAAGATCAAAGATGGAAATGTTGCATCGGTTTAATATCGAAGATGAAAAGTTGTTTGTAAGATATATGTTATGGTTGTTGTTTGCAGTAAAAGAATCCGGTGACTGGAAATTGTTTTCTGGTTGGCTGTGAAAATGTTATACAAATAAGTACTTCTTTTTTTTTTTTTCGTCTGAATGATTCATTATATTAAACAAAAGAGGAATACAAGGTAGAATACGGTTTTGGAACACTAGGCCGACAAGAGTCGAAACTCTTTCGGAAACTAAGCCGGCGGAACATAGAAATATCCCCGGAAAACTAAGCCCCAAAAAGGGAAGCAAACTATAATCAAAAGCACTAAAAGACAAGCCCTAAAGGAACCTAAGAACTAAATCTGAAACTCAAAACCAACATAACCTTCAAACAATCCAAGAGAAACAGATGGCGACGGAGCTGGACCAAGAAACAAGAGCCTCGAAAAGAAACAGACAATCTCCAAACTACCGGAGAATCCGAAGAAGAACTAATCCGAGAGCTCAACTAGCCACAACCCGACATAACAGAGAGAAGGAATAAGCTAAGAAGCGAGCACAGCAACAAGCACCATCACGCCAACTTCAGAAGGATAATGAGCTCGAACGAAACTAGGCACAAAGATGGACCTTTGAAAACGGCTGAGGATAAGCCAAAGAGGAGCACCAACCCTTACACGCGGACAAAGCAAACCAATCAATGCCACCTACAGACATGAACCGGTCACGACCTCGCAAGAGAAGAACTAGTAAACGAAACCACTGCTGCGCCTTGAACCCAACCACACAAACCAAAGAAGGCTTTAGAGAAGAGCTAGTAGATGCACCTGCAACGATGTACCATCCGATTGACAAACCTCAAACACGAACCCAGCCCACCAGAAACCACACCCAAACGAGAGGTAGCACTCGGCGAAGAAGAACTAGGAACCCAAAACAGAGAGCTAGAGCAAGCATGACACTAAAACCGGAAAGCACAGCAAAGCCGTACAATAACCCGTAGAGTTAGAACCAAGATCAAGCCTAACTACACCATTGCGCAAGCCAAAAACACCATCTAAACCTTCAACACAAACTAACAGATCTACACCAAGCACAACCAAGGAAAAGCCAACGAAAGCTCACCCGATAAAACCAAACAACCCACAGCCCCAAAAGAACCAAGAAGACAGAACCTCCACCAACAACCGCTTACTCTCTCTCGCCACGAGCCAGATCCACCAACATCCGGCCACACTAGCCAAAGAAAACCTTTAAACTCTGGAGAAACCGCAAATCCTTGCAAAACCCAACGTCGCAGCCACCAAAGATCCAATTGCGACAACTCCGCAACTCCAATCGTCTAAGCATCATCACAGAAGATACCGGCGTAGACTGAGAACAAAGCAAGATACCAACTAAAACAATCAAACAAAAGCCCTCTCACGGTGTCGGCGAGAAGCACCGACCACCGAAGAGGCAAGACTGAAATTTGTTTTTTTTTTTTTTTTTTCTTCAACGGCGGCTAGACCTAATCGAGAGAGAAACGGGGGCTGATACAAATAAGTACTTCAACCCAAGCAAATATATTATGGTTTTTACTTTTAACTTCGTTGCAAATATATACTCGCTCTGTTCGTTTTAGTTGTCGTTTAAGGTTTTTTTATACAAATTAAGAAAAGCACTAAATTTTCTGTTTTACCCTTTCTTAATATATCTTATAAATTTTTTCATTGGCCAAAACATTAAAACAATAGGGATAATATTGGAATTTTTACCAAACATTTGCATTGAAAACCTAAAACGACAACTATTACGATACAAAATTTAAGTCCTAAAACGACAACTAAAACGAAACGGAGGGAGTATCATTTACCATAGTAGTGAGGATCACCTATCACACTTTTTTTTTTCAATAATAGGTAATGCACAATTAACGATTCCTACATTGTACGTACTAAATACGAATTAGTGGATTACACGATTTGGAACTTATAATCAAGTGATAATTATGCATTAATTGTTGACAAAGTTGTACTTTACTGGAAAATTATAGATAATTTTTTATATAATGATTTTTTTCTTATTTTTTACATCATTGATTATCAAATCACGTTATACGTACTGTACCATGGTACTTTAATTTTCTCTTTCCCTAGCTATAGTGTAGTTAAAACCCGTATAATTCGATTGTCAATCACTTTATTAATATGAAAATACGGAATTTATCATTGAAATGGAGAGTGGTTGGTCCATATGTGAGTTATCAAATGGAATTAGCGCATCACCCATGTGATAAGTACGTGGACTTACCATTAGATATGCCATAATATTAGGGTATATATATTTATATTACATGACTGATAATGTTACGTAAACGTACTTATGTATTATAACATTTGACTTCGACCATCTTTGAAATTTCAAGGTTAGGTTGAAAGAGCCAAAATAAATATGTTAATAATATTGATTTATCAATCTGTGGATGGAATATGTAGATGAAGAAAATTCGAAACTGTTTTCATATAAGTATCTAATCAAGTCCCAATCTAAAATAAACTTAAAGAAGTTCATTAACCTGATCAAGGAAAGAACAATAAAGACATTTTACTGTTTTGTTCGGTGTAAAACATTTAAAAGACAGTCCTATATAATTAACTATAAACGGTAAAACACTTATAACTTCAAAAAAACGAAAACTGAATAATGTCTGAATAGATAATCAGCGTAAGTTGGCTACTTGCAACGTACCACGGAATTTGCGTAAAGGAGGAGCACTTATCAGTTGATTTCGTACGTTGATTTTTTCAACAAAAGCTCATACTGATAATTTGATATATTCGAATTGTATATTCATTGCCGATTATTAAGACAACTTGCCATTTGGTTATACATCTATGATATATGTAATAATTCGTATACTAAATAACTATTTTATGTAATGATAATTCGTATACTAAATAACTATTTTATGTAATGATAACTAGATTTTACCCCGCGGTATACTGCGGGTCGATTCTTTTATAACTAAAAAGTTATTTAGCAAAATTTTAAGTTGTATTTGTTTTGTTAATATTGTTTAGTTTGTTTAGTGTTTCTGATTTTATAATTAAATTTTGATTTTTAATTCTAGGATTTATCCCTAGTATATTGTTTGATATTAATATCGACCTAAACTCGTTGCACCATATAACCCCGTCCCGTAAAATTAAACATCATTTGTTATTTTTTTAATAATATTTTTATCCAATACGGGTCACAGGTTCATGCGGATAAGGCCGTAGAGAGTTGCGGATTTGCGGGTCGACCTGCCAAAAGAGAAGCTATCTTTTGAAACCCTTTGTTTTATTTAGAGGTTTTGAGAAAATATCCCTAAAAATAATTTTCATTATATGAAAAAAAAGAAGTAGAAGAAATTGTAGTATCAACATTCCCGATTTTTACATCACTCGTTACTATTAATTTTTTTTTTTTGCAAATAAAAATCAGAAGTTAACTAAGTCGAGATTTTTAAAAAGACTGTGTAGAGATTTTTGTTAAATTGTTGAGAACATATTTGATTTCAAAATCTTTACTTAAATAGATAAAACAAATCTAAATAATTAATGCTAATGGCATGCCATTGTAAATACTTCTCAACTTCAGGATTTATTTGCTAATTGTGCTCCAAAAATGTATATATAGATACTAGCTGATTCTCACGAGACGCGTTATAAGTTGTACTTAAGAACAATTGCAAAAGATGATTTTTTTTTTTTTTTTTTTTTCCATTAAAAACTATTACAAGCCAAAAGGGCAACACACAGGCACGCATGCCCAACAAATTACAAGGCAGAAACTGCCCAAAAAGGCTCACAGGCCCAAAACAAAGCAAATAGAACAATAGAACCAAAGGCCCAACCTAGCCCAAGAAGAAGACAAACCTACGGGAAGAACCTGAACCAAGTAGAAAGAAGAGAAGAACCTGGAGTAGCATTGCGTTGGTTCCGAGCAAGAGGATCAAGACGAGCTCGCATGATCTGATTTATGTCTCTGATGATAATCGCGGGAGGTCTAGTAGTGGTAGAATGAATACGAGAATTACGCTCTTTCCAAATTAAATAGACAGAAGCTTGAAAGAGAAGCTTTATGATGAGAGAAAGATTTAGATCCCTGGTAGCAGAATTAACCCACTGGAGGCAGTCCATGAAAGATGCCGGAGGATTCAAGTTGAGCCTTGAAGTGAAGAAGACCCACACTTCCTGGCTGAACACACACTCGAAGAACAAGTGTGTTGGTGTCGGATCCCGCAGTTCGGATCCGGCCCGGAAAGATAGTGGATCAGTGAGACGAAATGGGCCGTCGGCCCGGTCCAGGGGACGAAAAGAGCGGCCCAATAAGTTCAAGCCCAGTTCGAGTAAAACGGCGAGATCCCGCGAGTTAAATGAAAGGCGGATTGTACGGGATGTGCGAGATCGGGAAGATTCGAAACGGAAGCAATAATGGAGACGAGATCTGCGGCTTGACGAGCGACTTCGGTTTCAAATCATATAATTATAAATAGGAGACAAAAACCATTGTAATGGGGGGGCTTTTTTCTTGATCAATAAACAGATACACACACTTGACTCTCTTGTTTTCTTTTCACGATTGTTGTTCGAATTAGCTAGACTAGACGATCTGATATACATCATAAAACTTGTATTGCGGATTCCGACATCCACAATTTGGCGCTAGAAGGAGGGTATTTCTAGTCTTTTACTCTAGAATATCAATCGGAAAGATGTCAGACGTAGCGGATCCGGCTTCAGTCCTGGACGAGATCAAGAAGTTGCTTAAAGATCTGTCCGAGAAGACCGACCAGCAGCAGCTCGCCACCACTGCGTTGTCTGAGAAGCTTTCAGCATTTGAAGAGCAAAGCGGCAGCCAAATCGCAGTCCTCACAGCGAGTTGTTCCAAAATCAGGTCAGCCCATAATGCTTATGCGGATCGGGTTGATACAATTCTTGCAGGAACTTTGCGGACCAGCGGACCTCGCGGCCATTTGGACTTTCATGGTCCAAACGTTTCGGAGGTTCAAGATCCTAGACTCTTTTCCCCGAACAACGCACTCCCATCTTCTTTGCCTCTTGGCTCTCAGAGTGAACCTGGAGATGGATCCCGTCAGGCTCAAGCACCTCCAAATTCGGCCGGCGGTCCTTTTGTTCCATCCAGAACACCTCTCCCCATTCATCTTGGCAGCACCCCGCATCATCCTCAAACCGAGTCCCATCCGCCTCACCTTCCATTCAGCCCGGAAATCCAGAGCTTACAAAATCAGATTCGGGAAATGAGTTCGAGGGTTCACCAAGCCACCAGTTCGGCTCCCGAAGTCGATAGAGTGATCGAGGAGACGAGAAGGACTCCTTTTACTCTACGAATTGTAGCCCTGCGAATTCGAGACCAAAGGAAGGTAAAACTTCCGGGGTACGATGGTAAGGGAGATCCCAAAGAATTTTTAGCGTCTTTTCAGGTGACCGCAGGTCGGGTACATTTGGAGCCCAACGAAGTAGACGCAGGCTTATGCAAGCTCTTCGCCGAGAACCTATCCGGGCCGGCTTTGACCTGGTTTACTCAACTAGAAGAAGGATCGATCGATAGCTTCAAGCAACTATCCACTGCTTTCATCATGCAGTACGGATACTTCATCAAGAGCGATGTAACTGATGCCCAGCTGTGGAACCTCTCACAGGGAGCCGGAGAGCCGCTCCGGACTTACATCACCTCCTTTAAAGAGATTATGGTCCAGATCCCAAACCTGTCTGATTCCGCAGCAATTGCTGCACTCAAGAATGGTTTATGGCACGAATCCCGTTTCCGGGAAGAGTTGGTTGTTAACCGACCAGCCACTATTCAAGACGCCCTCCATCGGGCAACGAACTGGATAAACGCGGAAGAAGAGCGGGCCGCTCTAGCAAAAAAGTTCAAGGCAGCTCCAAAACCTGCTCAACTTCTTCCTCAGAAGAAGCCTGTTCAACCTGAAGTTCGAAAGCCTGGAGCTAGCACATTCTCAGTAGGTCGGGAGGAGCCAAAGGTTTCTCCGAAGAATTCGCCTGCGAAGCAGTCTTTCTCGCCAAAAAGCAAAAACGGCGCTTTCCCGAGTAACAAGTGGATTCGTGACCCAAACGCCTACTGCGAGATCCACAAAGTCAATGGGCATGCTACGAAAGATTGCAAGGCTCTAGGAAGGTTACTGGCTGCCAAGTTCACATCTGGGGAAATAGCCGAAATCGACGTTTCGGAGCTCGAACCAACTCATCCGTCGGAACGTACAGTAGCAACAGAGGAACCGTCTCCTCCCAGCAAGAAAACCAAAAGGATCCAGTCCCCTGATGTTTTTAAAGGACCGAAGAAGCAAATCCATGTGATTATGGGGGGATCTAAGCTCTTTCGGGATTCCATTAGTGCAATCAAGCAACACGAACGGAGGGCAACCCCCCCGATTATCAAGAAGGCCAGGCTTACTAAGGAACAGTTACCCGAAGTAACATTCTCCGAAAGCGAAACCAGTCAACTTGACAAACCACACGATGACGCTCTGGTCATAACACTCGATATTGCGTATTGCGAAGTTTCTCGGGTTCTCATTGATACTGGGAGTTCGGTGGATTTAATCTTCCTCGATACTTTGACAAGAATGGGGATATCGAAGCGAGATATAAGGGGGCCACCATCGCCTTTGGTTTCCTTTACTAGCGAAACTTCAATGTCATTAGGAACGATTGTGCTCCCGGTATGCGCAGAAGGCATAGTCAAAATGATTGAGTTCACGGTGTTCGATCGTCCGGCTGCTTATAATGTTATCTTGGGAACACCCTGGATTTATGAGATGAAAGTAGTACCTTCAACGTATCATCAATGCTTGAAATTCCCTACGAAGTCCGGAGTAAAGCAAATCCTGGGAAGTCAGCGAGCTGCGAGGATGTGTTACATGTCCAGTCATAAGCTAAAAATTCAATAGCAACCACAGTTCGAGGTGCCTTCAAATCCCGTCAAAAAAATAAGCAGTGACCTCGTGGAGGCAGTGGTAGTTAATGAGGAGTATCCAGATCAAACTGTGAAAATAGGAGCGGGATTAAGCGAAACACTCCAAGCCGAACTGATAACTTTCCTAAAAAGGAATCAAAAAACCTTCGCCTGGAAAATTGAGGAGATGACTGGGATCGATACAAAGGTCGTTTCGCATGAGCTCAACATTGACCCGACTTTCAAACCAGTAAAACAAAAGCGCAGGAAACTTGGTCCAGACCGAGCCGAGGCTGTAAATGCCGAAGTTCAGCGCCTGCTCGATGCCGGTTTGATTTGCGAGGTCAAATATCCGGACTGGTTGGCAAACCCTGTTGTAGTCAAGAAGAAAAATGGGAAATGGCGGGTTTGCGTAGATTTTACCGATCTTAATAAAGCCTGTCCTAAAGATAGTTTCCCACTTCCGCACATCGACCGACTTGTGGAGTCAACTACGGGCCACGAAATGATGTCCTTTATGGATGCTTTTTCCGGGTATAATCAGATTTTGATGAATCCGGAAGATCAGGAAAAGACAGCTTTCATCACGGACCGTGGAACTTACTGTTATATAGTCATGCCGTTCGGGTTGAAAAATGCCGGAGCCACTTATCAACGGTTGGTGAATATGATGTTCAAAGATCTCCTCGGTAAAACGATGGAAGTGTATATTGACGATATGCTGGTAAAGTCAATATCAAGCACTTCGCATATTGAGCATCTAGAGCAGTGCTTCGCAATTTTGAATAAGTTCGGAATGAAGCTGAACCCGACCAAGTGCACTTTTGCAGTTCCTTCGGGAGAGTTTTTGGGTTACATTGTCACAGAGCGGGGAATCGAAGCTAATCCGCGACAGTTGAACGCTTTTCTGGCAATGACTTCGCCTCGCAACATCCGGGAAGTTCAGCGACTCACAGGGCGGATAGCAGCCTTGAACCGGTTCATCTCGAGGTCAACCGATAGGTGTCTTCCATTCTATGATCTGCTCCGAAAAGCAAACAAGAATTTCATCTGGGATGAGAATTGCGAAAAGGCTTTCAAAAATCTAAAAGATTATTTGTCCAAACCTCCTGTGTTAGCGAAACCCGAGTTCGGAGAAGAGCTTTTCTTGTACGTATCGGTTTCCGACAGCGCAGTAAGTGGAGTGTTAGTGCGATTGGATCGGAACGAGGAAAGACCGATTTTCTATGTAAGCAAGTCTTTTTCGGGAGCGGAGTCAAGATATCCGATGATAGAAAAGCTAGCTCTGGCAGTAATTACTTTGGCTCGGAAATTAAGACCGTATTTTCAATCTCATACGGTTATTATCCTAACCACGCAACCTTTTAGGGCAATTTTGCATAGTCCGAGTCAGTCAGGAAGATTGGTTAAATGGGCAATTGAGCTAAGCGAGTATGATATCCAGTTTCGAACAAGGACAAGCTTGAAATCTCAAGTCCTCGCAGATTTTCTGATCGAACTACCTCTGGACTCCGTGGAAGTCAAAGAAAATGAAGGACCTTGGATACTTCATGTGGACGGCGCGTCCTCAAAACAGGGTTCCGGGATCGGTATCCGATTACAATCCCCGTATGGTGAGGTAATTGAACAGTCATTTCGTCTCGCATTTAATGCGTCGAATAACGAGGCGGAGTACGAGTCTCTCCTTGCAGGACTTCGTCTAGCGGTTGGGATAGGTGTCACAAAATTACGGGCATTTTGCGACTCGCAGCTCGTTGCTAATCAATTTTCCGGTGATTATGAAGCAAAAGATGGTAGAATGGAAGCTTACCTCGCTCAGGTTCAGGAATTGAGTAAAAAGTTTCTAAGTTTCGAACTCGCTAGAATTCCGCGAAGTGAGAACTCAGCGGCAGATGCGTTGGCGGCGTTAGCGTCGAGTTCTGAAGTAACAGTGAGCCGAATGATCCCTGTCGAAGTAATTGAACATCCCAGTATAGCCACCGGAGAGCTGAACTTCGTGACTACACGGTCTATGCAAAGAAGGATGAGTGTGGAACTAGAACCACAAAGGGTCGAGGAGACTGAGCAGAACTCCGAAGTAGAATCACTAATCGGAACACCGCTAAATTCGGAACCACTACCACCAGCGCTACCGCTTCCGGATTGGGGGGTAGACTGGCGGATACCCATCAGAGAATACATCCTTAATGGTACTCTCCCCACGGATAAGTGGGAGGCACGGAGACTGAAAGCTAAAAGTGCTCGTTTCTGCATTTCGAGCGACATCCTCTACAGAAGAAGCATCTCGGGTCCTGACATGATCTGTATTTTCGGACAGCAGGTCCGTACTGTGGTGAAAGAGATTCATGACGGAGTATGCGGAAATCACTTCGGAGGTCGCTTTTTGGCCTATAAAGTAAGAAAGTACGGATATTTCTGGCCCACATTAATCGCGGATTGCGAGGAGTATGCGCGGAAATGCGAGCAGTGCCAGAAGCACGCACCTTCAATTCACCAACCCACCGAGCCATTATCATCAGTCTCTTCGCCTTATCCGTTTATGAAATGGTCTATGGATATTATTGGGCCTCTTCATGTTTCTACGCGCGGGGTGAAATTTGTCCTGGTTCTTACCGATTATTTCTCGAAGTGGGTAGAAGCAGCAGCCTACGTAAACATAACTCAGGTTCAAGTTCGCAAATTCATTTGGCAGGACATCATTTGTAGGCACGGTTTGCCATACGAGATCGTTACTGATAACGGACCTCAATTCATTTCGCGGCAATTCGAATCTTTTTGCGAAGAATGGCAAATCAGACTCAGTCGATCAACGCCTCGTTACCCGCAGGGTAATGGTCAAGCTGAAGCAATGAACAAAACTGTTTTGTCCACTTTGAAGAAAAAACTTAAGTCGCACAAAGGAGCTTGGTTTAATGAACTACAAAGTGTTCTCTGGGCAATTCGCACTACTCCTAGGCGTGCAACAGGTGAAACACCATTTTCATTAGTTTATGGAATAGAGGCTGTAATCCCTGCTGAAATATTTGTGCCAAGTCCGAGACGGATGAATAACCCGCAGAACGAGGCAGCAAATAGCGAAATGATGGTTGACGTTATTGATACCATTGAGGAGCGGCGTGATCGAGCTTTGATTCGAATGCAAAATTACAAGAATGCCGCAGCTCGATACTATAATTCGACTGTCCGAAGTCGACACTTCGACGTTGGAACCTTGGTATTGCGCAAAGTTCAGCAAAATACTACCGAAGATGGAGCTGGAAAGCTAGGTATTAACTGGGAAGGTCCTTATCGAATTACTCTGGTAGTTCGCAACGGAGTTTATCGCCTTGAAAACATGGAAGGAAAAGCAGTCCGAAGAGCTTGGAATTCCATTCATCTGAAGAGATACTTTATTTAAGTATTTTATTATTTTCATTATTGTAAATCGAACTACGATAGACTTGATCCCCACCTTTGGGTACGTAGGCAGCTCGAACTTCGAGTGCAGTCTCTAAATCAAATAAAATGTTTATATTCTTCTAAACATCTTTCAAAGAAGCCAAGAATAATCTCGCAATCCGTGAAACCGAGAAGAACCTCGTAACTACTTTTTCTCGAAACCGAGCTCAGACCTCTGGTAATTCTTGAAAGATAAGCCTAAGTTTTACTTAGCAAAAAAGGGTCTGGTTCAACACAGACTAGGGATTTCTGCGGACTCCGAGTCCCGATTCTCATTTTTAATATTAAGAACACCCACTTAACTCTCGTTCTTAGTATTTCCCTTATCCTTTGAAGAAAGAATTCTGAGTTCATGTAACTTGCGTATCTCGTTGAAATCTTAAGTATTTCTTAATTTTTCGTACGAGGTATTCAAATTTCTCGAATACTCCGGATTTAAAGTTCAAAAGGACTTATATAAAAATAGAGGGGAAATATTCAAGTCTTCAAAAAAAAAACGATAAATAGGTTTTGGGTTTAAAAAATAAAAACAACAAAGGGGGGCACTAGCCATCACAACAAAGGGGGGCACTAGTCATGAAACCTTTATTAGTTCCGAACTCATCAATGGCGACATCATCTTCGGGAAGAGATGTCTCTTGCACGGGCTCTGGGGGAGTCGCAACAAAGAGATGAGCGAACTCATTTGGTTGAGGTCTGAGAGCGCTTACCTCGCGAGCTCTCTTCTCAGCCTCTTCCTCGTCTTTCTTTACCGACTCTAGTTCGGCTTTTAAGTCCGGAATCTCTCCCTTCAGAATCTCCTCAAGAAGCTCTCGGTTCGCCCGAGTTTCGGCAAGACGCGTCCCAATCATCTCATTATCACTGATGGCCTGGTAGTAGGTCTCATGCTTCGAGGCGAGTCCGCTATAGAGTTCACGAAGCCTCAACCTTTCATGTTTTTTCGCTGCTGCGAGCTCCTCGTCCCGTTTCTCAGCAGCGATCTTGCACCATTCCTCGCTTCGCTTAACTTCAGCTTCCAGCGAGGTAATCTTTTCACATGCCTCGAGATACAGGTTCTTCCCGATCTTCAGCTTCTCGGAAAGATCAGTCTTGGCAATGTCAAGAAGGTTGCAGCGACCTTCGGCCTCCAGCATTCGCTCCCGGATCTCGTTTGCCTTTGCCACCGCCCTGGCATTTTCTTCCTCCATCTCCTTGAGTTGACGAACTTCTTCTTCGAGTTCGGCGACCCGGGCCCTGAGACCATCCAGCTCGTTAACAGGAAAGAGCTGGGACTCGTGGCAGGAGAAGGTGGTGTTGTACTCGAGCATTAACTGTCAAAACGAAGATTCATGAGGACGGAGAGAAAAGTTCTTATTTTTATGAAAGGAGGAGAAGAGTTCAAAGAATTACCTCTCTGAGTTTATCAGCGAAGCGAAAGTAGTTCGCTCTGTTGACCTCCTTCAAGTCACTAAAGGGAGGAATCCTCATCCCAACAAGAGTAAAGTTCCTCATGAAATCAGCTGTTGACTTCGGAGGAGCTGTTAAAATAAAATAAAACGTCAAAATGAACTCGTAGCGAGATAGAAATACGAAGTCACTCTACTTACCAGTGGGGATCGGAATCTCCTGACGGACGGATTCCCGGTTCTCAGAGTCCCGCGAAGGCAGGACAAGAAGCTGAGTTGGCAAGTCGGACTCCGGGGCCCGTTGTGGATCTTCTTTTTCTTCTGGTTTTGATCCCAGACTGGTCCCAGCATCCTCGGAAGGATTTTTCTCGTCGTTCAGACGAGAACGACTCTTGCGTTGGAGGGAAGGAACTTCAGTTTCCTCGTTCCTGCGTTTCCTTGAGGAGGTTGCACTATGACCTCCTTCGGAAGTTTCTTTTTCCCGAGAAGATCGGGAGGAGCAAGAATCCGAGATCCGGATTAGGTCTTTTCCCGAAGACACCTTCTTCAGATCACGGAGATCAGATGTCTTCGATTCGGAAATCGGATCTACGGTACCCGAGTTCTTCCCTTTACCAGATGAAGATCTGGACTTCCCTTCATCCAAGGCCTTCACCATCCTGGCCTTATCTTCTTTCTCTCTCGCTTCTCTCGCTTTTTCCCTTTCCTTTTGGAGCCTCTTCTCTTCGCGGTAGGAAAGTGGAGACATGTTAGTGGCGACAGTAGGGGAGGAGGGAGGAGTGGAGGAAATGAGGTCGGATCACGAGACAATTCGAGCACACGAACTCCGGATGCGTTCGCAAGTGAACAATTCCCACGACAGGTCGCTGCTATTGCAAATCTTTACGAATTGTCCCGCAAAAGTATGAGAAAGCGTTTTCTTCGGAGGTTTAGCTGCAAAAGCAAAAACATTGACGGATTAGAAAGGAAAAAAAAGACGAGTGAAAAGCAGTGAAAAACCTAAGGAGCTATCTACCGGGACGACGAGTCCATTCACGAACGAAATAAGCCGTGTTTGGACCATAAGAAAATTCGTCTACAGCGAAGAAGAAGTAGGACTTTCTCCATTGCTCGTCCTTTTCGGGAAAATCCCCGAAGACTCTGAATTTACTCCGAGGACTGAGGAAAAACGTCCCCGGAGTTCGCCCCTTCTTTACTGTATAAAGATGGAGTACGTCGGATAGCGTGATACGGTATCCATTTTCCTCTGCGAGGGTCTGGAGGCACAGGACGGTCCTAACTACATTTGGACATAGTTGAGGAAGTGCGATTCCGAACTCGTGCATCAATTCGACTAAAAGGCCGGGAAGCGGAAAAGATAGCCCGCATTCCGAAAAGAAAATTTCAAAAGCGCAAGTGTGACCGGTAGGTGGAGACTCCGGAGAATCTGTCGGACCTGGAGTAATCAAGGACACTCGACGAGGGATCTGGCAGGCACCTTTCAGCAGAGCCAGCTTTTTATTGTCGAGATTCGAAGAAAAATACTTCCCGAACTCGCCTTCCATGATATGAGTCTCATTCTGGATCTTCCTGCTTCGCTTCGGAGCCATAACATAATTAGGGAAGATGTAGAGACGAAACAAGATCTGGCGCCAGGGATTTGGGAAGATATTTCAAGAACACGCTTGAGCAAACTTCGAAGATCTTCGTGAAAACCCAGAAACCGGAAAGACTAAGCGGTTGACGTTCTTCGGAAAACGGTTGCGATTCAACGGAATATCAAGAACACGGTGGAGGAGTTGAAGAACAACGAACAATTTCGGAGCAGAGGGCTGAAAATCTAAGAAATCTTTTAGATCTCTGGCCTAAATCTAGCACGGAACTAATCTAGAGCGGTGAACTAACACGAATCCGGAACTAAGTAGCAAGAACTAAAGCGTAATCGGAAGAGTGTTAAGAGAAAAAAGAGGAGAAGGTTCAGTACCTTAAATAAGCAGACGACGAAGGTGAGCGAGCTTGAAGCGGTTGTGCAGAACCCGAAGAGTCCAATCAAGTATTAATAGGAATCTCTGGCGGGAATATGGAAGCCCTAGGAACTCAAAACGCCGCCCTCAGCCCGAGAAGAATCCCTCGTTCCGCGGGAAAATTTATATCCTAAAGATCTCGAAACGTCACTTCGGTCGAGGAACCAAATCCCGGGGAAAGCGGAATTAATGACGAAATCTCCGAGCCCGAGAAGAGTTTGTTATTTAAAGTATCCCGAAGTTAATACTTTGGAACACTTGGGGGGCAAACTGTTGGTGTCGGATCCCGCAGTTCGGATCCGGCCCGGAAAGATAGTGGATCAGTGAGACGAAATGGGCCGTCGGCCCGGTCCAGGGGACGAAAAGAGCGGCCCAATAAGTTCAAGCCCAGTTCGAGTAAAACGGCGAGATCACGCGAGTTAAATGAAAGGCGGATTGTACGGGATGTGCGAGATCGGGAAGATTCGAAACGGAAGCAATAATGGAGGCGAGATCTGCGGCTTGACGAGCGACTTCGGTTTCAAATCATGTAATTATAAATAGGAGACAAAAACCATTGTAATGGGGGGGCCTTTTTCTTGATCAATAAACAGATACACACACTTGACTCTCTTGTTTTCTTTTCACGATTGTTGTTCGAATTAGCTAGACTCGACGATCCGATATACATCATAAAACTTGTATTGCAGATTCCGACATCCACAAAGTGTTCCCTAGATTCATCAAAACCATTGCAGAGAACACAAGAAGGAGAGATAGACAGTCCCCATCTCCTTAATCGATCGCGGGTGTGAAGTCTATTCCATGCCACCACCCAGCATATAAAGGCATGCTTTGGAATGCGGTTTTTAAACCACACTGATTTATGCCAAGAAACCGGTGGACCAGCTGGATTTAAGGCCAACCAAGTTTTTGGAGAGGAGAAATGAGGAGATGGTGGATGGTGGTCTGGCTTCCACAAATAAACATCATCCTCAAGACAGACCATCATGTTTCCCACTTCAGGCAAGAGACCTTTGATGAGAGAAATGATAGGGTTCCTACTGCGACTAGTAGAAATCCACCAAGCACTACCCCTAATAGCATCCCTAACCACAGAATTCAAAGGGAGGCCCACAACCTGTGGTCCAATAGTGCCTGTTAAGTCAATAAGAGCCCCCAGCCCAGTCCAGTTGTCGTGCCAGAAACTAGCAGTCTGACCTGAACCCACCTCACAAACCAGAAACGGTCTAGCCAAAGATTTCAGTTTGCATAACTTTCTCCAAATCCAGCTACCTGAGGAAGAGGGATTCAACTCCCAGAAATTACGAGTACCAATGAGATTAATCCTTACCCAAGACACCCAAAGAGAGCCAGTCTTAGTGAAGAGCATCCAAATAAGCTTCAATGCAAACATTTTATTCTAGGAGGATAACCGTTTGAGTCCAAGGCCTCCACATTCTCTTGCCGTACAGACCACATCCCATGCAATCTTTGCTCCTCTGGCTGAGTTGGGCGCGCCTTTCCATAAGAAAGCATTGCACATCTGCTCAAGCTTTAGTAGACATTGGTTAGGCAGCAAAAATATAAAGGCCCATAAATTAATGGTGGTGAAGATCACTGATTTAAGCAATTGAAGTCTGCCAGCAAAGGAGAGGTGTCTAACAGTCCAAGCGGAGAACTTGAAGTTGATCCTGTCAAGAAAAGGTTGATAGTCCTGGCGGCGCATCTTCTGAGCCATCAAGGGAACTCCCAAATATTTCACAGGAAGAGACCCATGGGATATACCAAACCTAGCAGAGAGACTTCTTAAAGTATTGAAATCACCACCATCAATGAGGAGAGCTGTCTTTTGCCTGTTGATACCTAAGCCAGAACCTGCTTTAAAATCATCAAGTATAGAGAGAATTCCAGCAATAGAAGAGGCTAAACCGTCAAAGAAGACCAGAACATCATTTGCAAAGCTGAGATGAGTAATCATCGGAGCTACACACTTGGGGTGTAGTTGAAACATGGAATTAATAGCACCTCTATCCAGAAACTTTGCAAGAATGTCCATCACAAGAACAAAGAGATGAGAAGACATGGGATCACCTTGTCTAATGCCCTTCTTTCCCTGGAAAAAACCAATCAGCTAACCATTGAAAGCAATATTGTAAGACGGCGTAGAGATACAAACTTTAATCCAACCAATGAAAATAGGAGGCAGTTCCATAGCTTGAAGGATATTGATCAAGAAATCCCAATTAACATTATCATAAGCTTTCGAGATATCAATTTGTAAGCAGCCTCTAGAAACCTCTCCCTCCAAATGGAATCCCTCCACCAATTCAGAGGCTAGAAGAACATTCTCACACAGCATTCTTCCCTTAATAAAACCCACTTGGTTATTTTGGACCGCCTACGCAATAAACAGCTTGAGACGAGCAGAAATGATCCGAGTAATAACCTTATAGATCATGTTGCAACAAGCTACAGGTCGAAAATGTGATAATTTGTCAGCCCCTGTATCTTTTGGAATAAGAGTAATCGCCGTCATGTTGAACTTTTTCAAGAGATGACCAGTAGTAAAAAACTCTTTCACAGCCGAGATAATGCTTTCCTTTACCACAAACCAGGTATCCCAATAGAATTCAACAGGGAAGCCATCGGGGCCCGGTGCCTTGTTCTTAGGCATAGAGAAGACAGATAGAGTAATATCCTCATCAAAGGGAATGGCTGACAGTTTTGCAGCAAGAGTGTCATCACATCGAAAAGGGTGCAGATCTCTGATGGATTCAACAGTAATAGGAACCGTCGACTCATTTTCAGATCCCAAAAGGTGAGTGTAATAAGAAACAATCATACCCTTTATCTGATCCACATTCTCCACCTTTGAGTCATCTTCAGCTCTAAGATATTTGATGAGATTCTTGGCTTGATGAGCAAGAACTGCTCTGTGGAAAAACCTGGTATTTGCATCACCCTCATTTAGCCACCTTATTCTTGATTTTTGTCTGTAAAAGGACTCCAAAGCCAAAGCAAAGAAATCCCATTTCTTTCTGGCCACATGTTCTTGCCTGAACAGAAAATCTGAAGGAATAGTGAGCAGCTGGGTATGAATATCCTCAAGATGGGACAGAGCGTCTCTTGTTTTTTGCTGCAGGTTACCAAATCCAAGACGATTTAATCTTCTGCAAGCGATCTTGGCGTGCTTTAAACGCTCCCCCAACATGAACATATTAGAGCCAACTAAGGTCTGCTCCTCCCAAGCAGCCTTCATACAATCCAGGAAGGTATGATGAGAAGCCAGAAAAGAGAAATACTTGAATGGTTTTTTGGAGTGACTAGGATGATTCTCCAACTGAATGATACAAGGGGAGTGGTCAGAATCACCTGGAGGGTCAAAGATAGCAACAGCACTTGAAAAGGAGTTAAACCACTCAATATTTCCTAATGCCCTATCCAACTTCCTGATTATAGGTTTTGTTGCTGATGGTTTGACCAAGTAAAAAACACACCACGACTTGGGATATCAACCAGGTCATTGTCTCTCAGACACTCTTGGAAGTCATCTAGACCACTTAGAGAAAACGAAGAAGGGATGACAGAAAAATGGTCAGATGTAGCAGCAATTTGGTTGTAATCTCCCAATAAGAGCCAAGGAGTATCCCTCAACGGGGAGGAAGGAGACAGAAAGCTAATTTCCTCCCAAAGCAGCCTTCTCTCAATAGCAGTGTTCTTCCCGTACACAAAAGCCGCAACAAAAGAATTTTCGATGTTAGGTACTTTTATGCTGCACAAAATCATTTGCTCAGATTTCTTGAAGACCAAAACAGACACTGAAGGATCCCAAACTAACCAGATCCTTCCTAAATCCGAGCAACAGTAGTTGCTTTCCATACGCCAACCAGGGAGGATGGACGCCAAAACTGAAGCCGCATTAGCCTCTGCTACATGCATTTCCAAAAAACCTCCCACCAATAGATTATTTGAAGCAATCCAGCTTCTAACTACTCTTTGTCGAGATTGGCTATTTAAGCCTCTAATATTCCAACAAAATATCGACATACTATCCAAAAAAGTTGTTTGAAAACTTGTTTCAACGACTTGCAGCTTTGCCCGAGGCCTCTCCTCGTGCGAAAGCTTGAGCACCTGATCTCATCTGATTGTGCCAAAATTTTTGCAGTTTCTTTCTTGTCTTCTTAGTCATATCACCCCAACCAGGTGGAATTGGAAACGAGGCATCATCAATCAGAACTTGAGGCTTGTCAACAACCGCATTACTCTTCACAGAGTGCAGAGTAAGTGGAGAAGATAGACCAAAGACAGGATCAGGCTCAACAGAAACAGCAAAAGATGATTGAACTGAACTATATATATCACACAATTACATGTTAAATTTTATTAAAGAAATGTATATTTAGCATGATGCAAATTCCTAGACTTAGCTTTTATGTGCCGCGGGACGTTTGTTTCTACTTTCTACAATTGATATTTCTCCAACTTTTCTATTTTTAACGGACTAGTTTTATCGAAGAAAACAAGAAACTATTTTGGTTGGTTAAAGTGGTTGGTAATAATTTTTTTTTAAAAAAACAGGTTGCTTGCTGCATTAGTCTCCTTTTGTTATGTACTAAACGCCATTTTTTCTTTTTTGAATGAAAACTACCCATTGGCAAAAAAATAATATAAAAGACTTATAAACCTTGGTTGACAAGAGAAATGATATAAAACTTAGGACAAGAGAGTAAAAGTTTATAATATTTGAAAGAAACTAAACGCAACTACCTATAGTCACATGCCCTTATAGGATTAAACTTAATTATCATATGCCTGAAAACTCCGTATTTTTCGCACTTCTTATAATCATTGAATCAATCATCACGAAATCATATTATTACGTTTTCCGCAAATTCCAAGTCATATCTAATTAATTTATACATATATCTTAATCAAAACAAGCTCTCTGAGTTCTACTATAAATAGCTGATGAATCCTAAGTCTTTTGCATCCAACACTACAACAATCATCAACTTCTTCTCTAATCAAAAGTTAAACACCTAAGACATTGAAAGAAAAACAAATGACGAAGATTTTCTCTCTATTGGTCGCAATGATCTTTTCCATAATGTTCTTCATGAAGATCAGCTCAGTTTCTGCTGGTTGGTTGCAAGCTCATGCGACCTTTTATGGCGGAAGTGATGCTTCTGGTACAATGGGTAAGTCTCACAAACTAGAGATGGAAATTTGGTTTTTAGGGTTTATTCGATTTGGAGATATTTATAAAAATAATTGGATTTAAAAGATATAAGATGAACTTTTCATGAATCTTTTTTATTGTACATATTTTACATAAAAATATGATTCATTTAATAAAATTTGGTTTTGGTAAGGTTTGGTTTGTTTGGTATAAATCAGACTATGAATTAATTTCGGTTTGTTTAGTTAGATTCTGTTCTACCCTAATTAGAGTTCTAAAAACAGTATTTCTTCTTCAACAAGAAACCCTCTCATAGTTTTCTTCTTCAGGTGGAGCTTGTGGTTATGGAAACCTATACACAGACGGTTACAAGACAAACACAGCGGCGCTAAGCACGGCACTGTTCAACGACGGCAAGTCATGCGGTGGATGTTACCAAATCTTGTGTGATGCAACCAAAGTACCACAATGGTGTCTTAAAGGAAAATCAATCACAATCACAGCCACAAACTTCTGTCCACCAAACTTTGCTCAGGCAAGCGACGATGGAGGATGGTGCAACCCACCAAGACCTCACTTTGACATGGCTCAGCCTGCGTTTCTAACCATCGCTAAGTACAAAGCTGGTATCGTTCCCATTCTCTACAAAAGGGTTGGATGTAGAAGAAGCGGAGGGATGAGATTTACGATGAACGGTAGAAACTATTTCGAGCTTGTTCTCATCTCAAACGTAGCAGGAGCTGGTGAGATCTCTAAAGTTTGGATTAAAGGCTCTAAGAGCAACAAATGGGAGACAATGTCAAGAAATTGGGGAGCTAATTATCAGAGCAACACTTACCTTAATGGACAATCTCTCTCTTTCAAAGTTCAACTCAGTGATGGAAGAATCAAAGCAGCTCTCAACGTTGTTCCTTCGAATTGGCAGTTTGGTCAGAGCTTCAAGAGCAACATCAACTTCTGATCTCAGTAATGATTGGGTTTATGGTTTTTATCCATCTTTTGTATTTACTTTCATTGGGTATTTTTGCTTCCTCTGTTGCATCATCATCATCTGTGAGATAAGCTGCTTGTTTTATAGCCTTATTATAGTCTTGCTTCCAGAGAGTTTATAATCTGGAGAAGACTCAAGCAGTGATGATTGTATTTTGTACATTTAAGGAAGAATATGTTTACTATATATATATATATATATATCTATGAAAGGATATAATATAAAACTACTTAGCTTTTAAGGTCTTCAGGTATCTCTTGTATAATATTGCCTCAATCTTCATTCTCAACCTCCTCTGCAATGTACAGGTTTTACCTCTGCTAATATGAATCGACCTTAAAACAGAGTTCTATGTTTTGGAAACAGCTCTTTTTTTAAGCAACAAGAAAAATAGACCTTAAAACAGAGTGCTATGTTTTGGAAATAGCTCTGTTTTTAAGCAACAAGAAAACAGAGCAATGTGTTTCTTTTCGTCTATCATTTCTCTCTGTCTCAGCTTATGCAAAACCACCGTTAGTTAAAGTTAATCGCGCCTGAAAAATCTTAATCTCAACTTAAACCTAATTTAAAATCAATTTCATGGTGCCAAGCTGACGATTAATTCGAAGTCATTTAGGGAAAATGGATCATCTGTAATTTCGTGATCTTCTTTCTGAGTTCACTGTCTTATTCCGATTTACCGGCAAATACCGTTTACTACAAGTTTTTACACATCTCTAGACGAAACAATCACATGTCGAAAAAACTTGGTATATTGAAAGCCTCAAGATTCAGAATATACAATTGAGAACAACTGTGAATGTAAAGTTACATAAGATTTAAAATTATACAGGCTTATTTGTATCTATATCTAACCTGCAGAGAAGTGGTACACTACCTCAGCTTGGCTTAAAGGAGAAAACTCAAAGATCATGAATAACACCTTCAATAACTTTCTGAGCTGCATCTCGGATACTCGTAAGATTTGTTTTGATCTCTTTGCACAATCTTCCTTCAACTAGCCGCACTGGTAACCACATCTTCGGTTTTACATCCACAGTGTATGCAAGCGTCGTCCGAAAATCTTTAAATTGTAAATCCAAAGACTCCCCATGAATCCCTTTGTCGAGCTGTGTCACGAAAAACACAGATAATAATCAAAAACAGCCTCGATGCGATGCGTTCTTATAAGAGTGATTTCGTATGATATATACTTGTTCGATAGACCATTTGCCTTCAAACAATTGGAAATCGCCTTCGACCATCTTAAAGTCGATTTCACGTCTCCTCCCATGAGGCAAAATCTCAAGCTCTTTCTCAAAACAATCTAAAACAGCTTTGGCATTGAACTTAAGACCAAGTGCTAAATTCTGCTGTCCCATCTATCAAAACCACAACAAAAACCAGAGGATATGAAAATGCACTCAAATCAAGCAATATTACACCATTTTCAATACTTGAGCAATGCAATCTTCAATCTCACGGTACAATATCATGGCCAATTCAAGCTTAAGTAAGAGCCATTGATACACGAATCGAAGAATTGGATTTGAGAGCAAAAACCTGGAAAAGACGAACACGATTGCCTTCTTTCTCGACCAATTCGCTAACAACGAGACCTGGAATGAAATCAGATAACTTCTCGTAATCAGTCAATACACTCCAAACGGAATCGAGACTCGCTTCCATTCCAATCTTCGAACGAATTCGACGAGAGCTCTTCTCGAGTTTCTTCACCTCTATAAGAACACCATCGTCGCCTATCAATTCCTCTGTCTTCCCATCTGTCAAACAATAATCATCTTCATCATCAATTTCAATTTCAATTTCAGTTTCATCTTCGCTTGAATCGAACCGCGAAGAACCGTCGCCAAATCGGCAGGTGAAACATCTACGAGAAGAAGAAGAAGAAGCTAAGAGTGTCGAGGAAGGTGAAAAAGAGGATAGCGAGTGAAAAAATTTAGTCGGAGACTGTGAAATCGTTACGGCGGAGGTGGTGGCTAAAGCGGCGGCGCGTGGGTGGTGAAAGGCGGAGGAGAAGTCTAATAAGATGGGAGAAGATTGCATTGTTTTCTAGATCTGGAAAAACCGTCTAAAAGAAGGCTTCCTAATGAACTATAGGCTTTCTATTTGGGCCTTTTATTTTCTCAAAGTCAAAATGGGCCCATTTAAAATACATAAATTATAGAGTTAATAAAAAAATATATATCATAAAATTTTCAAAATGTTTTCTATCTACAATTTTACATCCAATAATATCATTCGTTAGTTATAGATATAAAAAACATGGATTACATGAATCGAGTTATGTATTTATGAAAAATACTATTTTGTTTATAAATGTATTCTCTATCTTTTATAAAAGTCTGAAATCTATTAGACTAGTACAATTTTAAACCATGAATAGCTATTGTTCATGTAATTTTTGGTAAAATAGTCACATTCAATTGTAAATATTTCAAACTTTTTTGTTGTCAGCCAAAATATTACGTTTTTTGGGGGGTCAAAACCAAAATATATTTCCTTCATTTTTAACATTTAAAAGTTTTGTTTGTGCTTTTAATATGAGTTTAAAAGTTTTTAATTTGATGACTTTTCCCATTTTTTTTTTAATATGATGTATTGAATCTTCTTCCACTCTAAATTATGTATAAGCAAAATGCCAATATTCTTTACCCACTAAAGAAACTTATTAACTCTCTCTATAATATATATTTCACTAAAATGTCATTGACTCTGTATTTGCCACTAAAAAAAAAAAAAAAAAAAAAGACTTTAATTATAGATCCAAATGACCTTTTGAGGAAACCTATTGGCTGTGTTTTAGGTTGATGATCTTTAAACAATTACGAATTTGAATTAACTTGTGCTAATGATCTTCAAGAGGAAACTTTGAAGAATATCACTAACAGACTTCTGATTAAAAAAAACAAAACATTTTCATATAAACTAAAGTCTTATACTTATAGTTTATATATCAAATATAATATGATCGATAGAATCAAACCGATCTAATCTAAAAAGCAAAACCTTTCAAGAGATTGAACATAAAGAAGGTGGGTCAAAATCTTAAGTATGATTTTGGATCTCAACTGGATCTTGAAGAGATTAGCAAAAGCTTAATTAACGATGTAAAACGGATTTAAAAAAAAAAAAACCATATTAACTTAAAGATATAGATTGAGAGTAAAAATACCTTCAAGGTTTGGAATTTTAATGGACATTTTCTCTTCGTCTTTTGTCAAACCTCTCAGATGTTTTTGAAGATCTCAAGACTAAATACAATTTGGTTTATACTTTATATGTATAGACAAATGATGACCACCTTAGATGCCAACTAATCACTGTGCCATATTTTAAATTAAACTCGAAAAATTATACAGTATTGCCTACTATCCTGATTCCTGACAATTCTGAGTGGCTTGACCAATTTTATATTCCAAATGATTTAATAATAATATTTGTTCGTACCCTCAGATTGGTGTAAGTTATATGATATCACCGAAAGTTAAAATAAAATCCTCTTTTACGCTAAGAAAAACAAAACGAATGAGTTAGAGAAGATAACTAGTTTCGCCGCCAAAAAAAAAAAAAAAAAAAAAAAAAAAAAAAAAAAGCTAGTTTCAAAGATGATTTTCATATCGAACCCGGGACCGTTCTTGCAGCTGCAAGCCGTATACCACCAGACTAACTCATTGTTCTTCTCTTTCTTTTTTGTCTTTTTTTGGGTCAAATGTTAAAAAAAGCTAGTATCAAAGATGATTTTTACGGGTCTCAATTTTTTTCTTGTTCGTATTATATAATTTATTTCTCGTGTTACTTTATGAGTGGAGATGCATTGTACTTAGGCATATTTTTTTTTTGGCGGCCATTGTACTGAAGCATATAAGTTTAAATCTACATTTTACATATTAATTATATATAATATATATTTTTTTTGTCAACATATAGCTAGTGTATATATTGTATATTCAATTATTGTTGGTTTTCTACTATTAATGTAAAGCAGTCATTTATACAAAAATAATATAACTTTTCATCTTATATTTACTGCTATTTTAAAATCGGGAATCAATCGGGAACTAGTTTTAAAATTATTTTAATATTATTAAAATATATTAATCTAATATTATTTTTAAAATAGCAGTAAGTATATAAAAATGTATTTTTGAAACAAATTTTTATTATTTTTTATTAAAATTTGAATATAAGTTATTGTAAAACATCACAAACTCCCAGTTCAAGAATTAATCGGATTAGACGAAAAGTAATCGGATAACTCATTTTTTTAGGGAATTAGTCACTAATCGAATAATGGATTTAACGATTAAGCGGAGAGTATGCAGATTTTTTAAAACGAGGTTCAAACGATATACATTATGAACAAAGGATATAATTTAGTTCAAGAAGAGGCAAAAAAAAAAGCACCTTCAGTTACACATGGTTAAGGAAGCAACTCGTAAGATTTGTGTTTGGCGCAATGGGCCTTTATATGGTGAATGAATAAAGAGCTAATTGGGCCGAAACTAGAACCTTGGAGGAGGAGGAGTTTCTGGTTATCGTCTCCACACGTAAACCTCGGTTCCTCGTCGACGTCTCCGATCTTCGTGGTCTAACGCAAACACACACACACAATTATAATCAAACCAAATTTCTGAAAATGGAAAACAAACAAAGAGAGGAAAGTCAAATCCACGATTAAGAGTACTTTTCACGCGGCGACATTGATTCGTGATGAGTTCGTGGAGCAAGAGCTTTGGTAGGCTCTTCAATGGTGTATCGCTTGTAGCTAAAGAGATCTATAATCAGTCACCGGAGTTACAGAGAGCGAGGAATGGAGATCTCGAAGGCTTAATTACGTCTTCTGGGAAAAAAGCTTTGGTTGCTGCCACCGACTTAGTCGGACTTACCTCCGGGAAGCTTCGCGAGCTCTCGATTCGTCGATCTAAGGAACCTTCCGTTGTTTACTTCGACGAAGGGGATAATAAAGATACCGTCGTCGTAACGCCTGAGGTTAGATCTGATAGCACCGAACCTAGCGAGAAAATCGTTGATTCGAGAGACCTGAGAAGCGAATTTAGCGATGAAGCTAAGATTTCAAATAGAGAAGAAGAGATTAAGGTTTCAGGCAACGTAGACAGCGAGATTATTGGAGTTCGAGCTGCTGAATCAGGTGCGGTGGCATCATCTTCGGCGGAGGTAGCAGCTCCGGTGAAGAGACGGAGACCTAGAGAGAGGAAGGTTCCATCAACTCCTATAGCAAGAGCTTATGGGTATTGGAATCAATCACTTGTTGCTTAGTTAGGTTTATATAGAATCTTTATGATGAAGCATTTTTAACAAGTTGAAATTTTGTGTATCGTGAAGGTTTTTTAATTTAGGAGCTGCTCTTGCTTGGGGAGCTGTTAAAGAATCTACGTATAGGATTGTGAATGGGACACCAATGACAGAAGGCAATCAACCTGCACTATCGTCTTTGATGTCTAAGGAAAATGCTGAAAGATTGGCTCTTGGATTGTGTGAAATGCGTGGAGCTGCTCTCAAAGTTGGGCAAATGTTGAGTATACAGGACGAGAGTCTTGTTCCTGCTCCGGTATGTACGAATCGATTTCTTTTGTCTACTCTTAGCAGCTTTAGTTTGGTATCTGTTTTGACATAAAGAAAGGTTCTTTTGTAGATCTTGAATGCTCTGGAGTATGTGCGTCAAGGTGCTGATGTGATGCCAAGGAGTCAACTTAATCCTGTTTTGGATGCTGAGTTGGGTCCTAATTGGCAATCCAAGTTGACTAGTTTTGATTATGAACCGCTAGCGGCAGCGAGTATTGGTCAGGTACTACTAACTTAGTTTCTACGATTGTATTTTGATTGAAGAATGCATGTGATACTTTGTGAGTGTGTTGAATCGTTTTCTTCTTCTATTCCTTAGTTCGTTGTAATGATGTTTTAGGTGCACCGAGCTGTCACTAAAGATGGATTAGAAGTCGCAATGAAGATTCAGTACCCTGGCGTTGCCAACAGCATTGAAAGTGATATCGAAAATGTCAGACGCTTGTTAAATTATACAAATCTAATTCCAAAGGGACTCTTTCTGGACAGAGCTATAAAGGTATTGTAATCTTATCGAGTGTTACTTAAGTCACTCTCTGTATGTTAGGTATAGAGCAATACATTCAGTCTCTGATTCTATACTCTGATGATCGAATAACATAGAAGAAAATTAACAAAATGATAATCCCCCTTAAAAATTTGGACAATGTGTTACAAATGATCAATTTATCCGTGTCTTAAGATTCGTGACGAAGATTTTTGCAGGTTGCCAAAGAAGAGTTGGCACAGGAGTGTGACTATGAAATCGAAGCAGTCAGTCAAAAGCGCTTTCGTGATTTGCTTTCAGACACCCCAGGGTTTTATGTTCCGCTTGTGGTAGATGAGATTTCAAGCAAAAAGATTCTAACCACAGAACTTATATCTGGTAACTGCATTTCCGCTTACTCTGTTCCGATATTTGTTATAATGTTACGACGAACTAATCTTTGCTATTAACATATTCTCCCAGGGATCCCCATTGATAAAGTAGCCTTGTTAGATCAGAAAACAAGAGATTATGTTGGGAGGAAGATGCTGGAACTCACTTTGAAGGAGCTTTTTGTCTTCCGCTTCATGCAGACGGATCCAAACTGGGGTAACTTCTTATACAATGAAGCCACAAAAACAATAAATCTTATTGATTTCGGAGCAGCTCGTGATTACCCCAAAAAATTCGTCGATGACTATCTACGAATGGTAAAACAATCTTATCATTTTAGCCTTTTCTCACACATGTAAAAGATTGAAGAGAATCTTGAGAACATTTCATGGAACCCTTTTTCAGGTGATGGCATGTGCAGAAAAAGACAGCGAAGGAGTGATTGAAATGTCGAGGAGACTTGGGTTCTTAACCGGAGATGAATCAGACGTAATGCTAGACGCTCATGTCCAAGCTGGTTTCATAGTGGGTCTACCTTTTGCAGAACCCGGTGGCTACGCTTTCCGAACCAACAACATTGCTTCTAGCATCTCCAATTTAGGAGCAACCATGTTGAAACATAGACTCACTCCACCACCCGATGAAGCCTATAGCCTTCACCGTAAATTATCCGGCGCTTTCTTGGCTTGTATCAAGCTTGGAGCCACCGTCCCTTGCCGTGATCTATTGCTCCAAGTTTACAACAAGTATCAGTTCGATGATGAGCCACAAGGTCCAATAGTCGCTACTAGCTCTGTTTCTTCAACATAGCTCTCTCATACACACACAATACATTAATGATTTTTTCTCTTCCCTTTGTGGGGAGTAAAAACGATTCTTTCTGGTACACCTTCGAGTTTAATTTAGAATAAAAAAAATTCAATAATGTAAAATGTTGAATATTACAATGCTGGAGAAAAGCCAATCATCAAACTTATTAGATATATATTTAACTCTATACTTTTTGGCTTATGACCATATACTCAAGATCAATTGCCAAATCTCACCGTCAACACACAAAAACAGAACAAACTCTTTAAAAAAAATTACGAAATCAAAAAGAATTTTCAAAACTTAAGTGGAAAATGCATGCAATTTTTTTTTTTGAAGCGAATTATTTTTTGTAAGAGAGTGAGTGAATCATAAAGAATTAGGAGGTTGATGATGAGTAGTGGACACAAAAGCCACAGCATGAGCCCACGCCTTAAGCCTCGCTTTCACGTCTTTTGGATCATCCCCTGAAATATCAAGTTAAGCCCATATTTTAATTCTGTAAGCTCAAGTTTTGCCACAAACTATAAAAATGGTTAATGTATATTAATAATTTTGTAAAATAGCATTTGGCTTTTGCATATAAAAAGCTTTCAAGTTTAGATATTTATTAGTGCATATAAATCCAACAAAAAAAAAAAAAGATAGAAAGGTCAAGAAAAAAATTAAAAGTTTTTGGAATTTTAACTAAGAGCCAAAAAAAAAAGCTTGGTGTTTTTTTGGGACTAACCGGGACTCGAAATACGGTGGTTAGAAGAGATAGGAGAATTGCCGCCACTACTAGTATCCATCGTTGACCCGGAATACGAAACCCGACCCGGTTCAAGCTCAAACCCCAAATCTTTACAAGCTTTGACTTCTTCTAAATCCATACACAATGGCCTTCCTCCTCCTATAGGCCTCGTCACAACCACCACTCCTCCTCCGTAACCACCGTGACTACTCTGTTCATCGCCGCCGTAGCTCCTCCGCATACTATCAACCCACGGTGGACACTCCGGTTTCAGTCTCCTTCTCCTCCTCTGATTGTTATTCGTCTTTTGAACTTCGTTCTCGCTAGCGTAAGCTTTATCGCCGGAAACCGGAGAACTCACCGCCAAATATCCTCCTCTTCGCCGTCTCCGTCGTGGAGGTGTCGCCGGAAGTGATTGACAACCGGTTGATCCTTTATCAGAATCAGAAAAATTTAGCTCCTCCATAGATTTCTCTCCTCCGCCGCCGCCGACACGTTTCTCGTCGGAATCAGAAGATTCGCCGTCGGCTTCATCTCCGTCGTAGTTGGAACAAACGGAGAGTCTTGATAAAGAATAGTGTTGTTCTTCTTCTTCTCTTAAGAAAGACGCCATTTTCATATCTTCATCAAAAGCCATAATAATAACTCTCTCTGCAACAGATAGATAAATGTAATAATTTGTTGTGTCTCTATATATTTTTGATGTTTTCTATTTTTCTTTGTGAGTTATCTTATATCTGTTTTTAGCTTTGGATTTTGATTTTCTGTTTGGTTAAAATGTTTTGATTAAAAAAGATAACGACATGGAGACCTTATATATATCCTATATCCATTCTTTGAATTTACAGATTTATCCCCCAAACTTATAAACTTTGTTTTTCTTAAAAAATAATAATAATATAATTGTATAGCATAATTAATGATAGGGTGAATTTGCTCTATAACCATTTCTGATAAATAAATTAAGAATATAGCATATTAATTTGAAAAATTAAGTAACTAACATGAATGAATTGTGAAATGACTAAAATCGAGTTATTGAGGGTACGTGGCAAATGAGAAAAATAAAGAATTATCTTTATTTTGTTTTCCTCTATATTTTTAAATATGATAATGTTTACCCCTTAATATTTTTTTGCAACATATTTTTTACAAATAAATGATTCGAAAATTCAAATCTACATAAAACAAATATATTTATTTTTCTGCATCAAACACAACTTGAATTTCTTAAATCGGATTTGATTTTTTTAAATAATGAATAGTGTTTATCTTTCTACACATAAATGAGATAGTATAGAATCCAATGAAATAGTATAGAACGAAACATTTGTAATAAAATGTAGGTAGTGGTGGTGGTGACGGTAATAACTTGGTGATGATGATGGTAACGGTATGGTGGTGATGGCATAGTTGTGGTAGCGGTGGTGTGATGGCATGGTGGTGGTGATATAGTGGTGGTGATGGTGACGTCGGTGGTGGTTAGGACAACGACGATGGTGGTGGAGGTAGTAGTAGTGGTGGTGGTGACTGTCGTTGGAACTTTTCTCGTAAAGTTGAAATTCTGGAAAGAGATTCAAAATTTGATTCTCCCCAAAGAAACAGTAATCAAAGCTAATATTTTACATTTACAAAGAAAATGGGATAGATATTACGTAAAAACAAAAGAAGAGAGACACAAGGGCAAAAGGGTCCAAAATACAAAAATTACACACAATATCATTGGCTTTTTTTTGTTGGTTATTTACTTAATTATAGATTTTTGGTATGTTATTGGTGCAAATTTTCCTTAATGATACTCCAAGGAATGTTTTGGAATTTTAAGAAGATCTCCCATACATAGAATAAATTTGATAAGGTTATCTCGTTTTTTTAAAGCGATTATAATGGATCCTTAAAAAACATTTGTGTGTTACATTAAAAAAACGATCAAAATATGAAATATGATTAAGTGCTGAAAATGTTATACTTTAGAAACCAATGTTAGATCCTTGATTGCATCGTTTAAGTTAGTTAATTTGTATCTGGTATGACTATTTAAATTAGCCATTGCGGATGTGATGTATTTGGGCTCTTCTTCTTTTGGTGAAGTTTATACTAAATGAAATTACAATTTGACCAAAATATTTCTTAATGACATTGTATTAATATTTATTTGGCAATTTTTAAAAGTATGGTATTTTTTGACCTTTTTCATATGTGATAATGTGGCATATATTATATGTATTTTACTTGGCTTGAGAAAATAATATAAACAAATATTTGTTTATGTGAAAGCTATTTTCACTTCCTTGATTTGAGTTAGAAATTTAATGTTTGAAATTTGTTATACCACTTTCCTTTGGTTTAATTTGTGTTATCTTTTTCTCTTTTTTTTTTGGCAGCAAAAGACAGATGATAGTACCATAGTAGTGTATTATATTACAGAACAGAAATGTTTCACAATTGTAATTAGTTTTTTAACTCGTAACTTTTATCCTTAATGCAAGAAAATTACCTTAAAAAAAAAAGTTTACCTTAAGCAATAACCGAATGCCAATTTCCACGTGGCACACATCGTTAGAGCTCATGACTGCAAGGCTAATCTTGTAATTTAGGCATCTAGGGATATCCGTTTCACCGTTTGGTGGGAACTTTGTTCATTGATTAATAGCGGATTAATTAGGAGTATTAAACCGTAATTAAAAAAACATTAGAAATCGTCTATGCTGATCTAAGTGAGCTTGACCAGCTACTGCGTAAGCCAACCGTCTTTTGACACGTAAGATTTGTGCAAGAGATAGAACCAAGACCAGTCCGCACGACGAGGCTGTCCAAAAACATCTTATCATATCGCAAAATGTCAATTTATATATTCTTTACAAACATCGAAAACACTTAGAGCAAACGCAGTGGAGCATGTGTAATTGTGGGTGTAAGTAATTGTTTATTGTTATAATTAAAAGAGAAAGAGAGAAAAGAGAGAGAGATAGAGAGAGATAGAGAGAAGAAATTTTTTTCTATTTTTATAATACTTCACATTTGAGTGTAAGTCTACACCCAATTTTTATTGAAAAGGTAACTTTTGCAATATTTCTCAATTGTTTATAACCAACACCCGAGTAACAAGTGTGCCACTGCGTTTGCTCTTATGAGATCTATTTTAAATTCGTCGTATGATATGAACATAGTTTTTAATCACCATTAAGGTATTTAGTTCGGAATATAAGGGAGTTCGGTTTGTACAATTGTACACTAAGCAGAATGTATTTCTATAACAAAATTAAAGCCAAATATAGTTGTTATTTTTCGTTGAGAATTCCATTTCTGCAAAGAGAAATGTATATGTATATGAAGTTAAATAAATACACGTTATGTTATTTTTTTAATAATGTAATGATGCGATGATAACACATGTCATATGATATGTGACAACTTCAAAATACTTTGTGTTAATTATTATCAATATTGATAAAGTAAGGAGCTAAGTTTCTCTTTTCATGAAAAGAATTGAATTATCGTGACCTATTGGAAAAAAATATAAACACTATAAGTGAAGGTCCATATAGCTTTGTTTCGTTTCTTCTATACCCTAAGGACACTTTTGCTTAAGGACTATCGATGGCTCTTTGCTGTTTGTGAGGGCAAATGGACGGCCTTGATTAGGTCTTCCACACGTGTCATATACTAATTAATGATTGATTATACTAGAGATCGCACGTGCTGCTGTCCAGACAAAAGAAATATTTGAAGTATTTATATTTTCATGACAGATGAAAATGAAGTTTTTAATCATGCAATTTGAATTTTTTTTTGTCAATTCTGTTAACTTAATGTTTTTGCAACTTTCATAGTACGTTTAAATGAAAATTTATAATGTATTGATTGGGTAAATAACTTTTTTTATCGATTACTAAATTTGAAATTCAACTAAAAGTCTATAATAAAGAAAAAAAATCTGTTTGCTTCTAATTTAATTTGTTTTGTGTGGTAGTGATCATGCCAAGTATATGAGTTTAAAAGCATCTAAAAAGCAGCTTAAGTCTCAACAAAGCGTTTCCTTCTTTGTGGACTTAATTCAGAGAATGGAACCATACTACTATGTGTCTATGTCTATATGTATAATTTCGTAAGAAACAATATATGTTGCAATATGCAAAGAATGTTATCATTTGCATATTTAATAAATAAAAGTAATAGTTGGTAAGACCGACCCAAAGAAGATTTATATTGAAGGCAAACCAATCAATGCATCCCACGAGGGCATTGAGATTTATTTTAGGAAGACAATGACATATTGACGGCCATTGATAATATTATTAAGTATTCACACTTGAAAATGATATATAAGTTTTTAAAATAGTATAAAAGATGATAAATATATAGGAGAAATATAGTTTTCTTGTCAACTCCCGGAGAACAAAATAAGACTAATCTTTGCACAGTTCGAATTGCAACTATATATTAACTCAAAATATTGGACGGCTTTGATACTATTGTTACAAAATTGGCAAACTAACCCTTTTTCTTGAATAATCTGACTTTAAAGTAAACATATTACTATCATGTGTTTGTGTTATTGGCCTTTTTGTCAAAAATCTTAGTGCAAAAAGAAGAAAACTTATCGGGCTTAGTCCCGTAACTAAAGGCCCATGTAATCTTTAGTGGGCTTCCACTATAGATATCAAACAAATTAATATCTAGGGCTAGGCTTAATTTTAATAGACACGTTGTTTTTTTTTTTTTTTTTTTTTTTTTTGATAAAAAATAGACACGTTGTTACGAATGCAGCTTTAGTTTAATGTTCATCAAAAGTGAACTATAGCAAAGAACTTGAAGTAGAAACTAAAAGCTGCCGGATTTAAAAAGACGAATGATAATGTCTAATATTTTAAAATTGAAAAAAAGACAACCAAAGTTAAAAACTGTTCCTTAATAAGTTCATTGAAATGAAACTAAAATTAAAGTGAAAAAAAAAGAAGATAAAGTAATAAAGTTGTCCCTATATAAAGAAAGATACACACTAGCCTTTTTTTAGAAGCTTCACCTAAAAAATGTTACAATAGTCAATCGAATAAATGCTTTGTCTATCAATATATAAAAAAGTTCTTAAGAAGAACATAATATATTATTCAATCTGAATTGACAATATTAATCTCAGAGATTCCTCAATACTTATAAGAGAAAATTATTGTCGACTTTCCTTTGTTTATTCCATTAATTCGTTGAATTGTACACTTTAATTATCGTCGACATAATTCACTAATTTATACTAGTGTATTTTGAAATCTTGCACAAACATGAATAGAACGATTAACTGTATCCTCTTTGTTTTTATTTTTATTTTTTGGAAATCTCTTTATTTTTTTTATATCTTAACAAAACATATGTATATCATTTCACAATTGAGAAGGGTATATCTCCCCCTCTCTGGTTAATTTATTGATATCAAACAAAGCATGTAACCATTTTTTTTTTTTTTGACAATCTCATGTAACCATTTTGTTACACAAACACAATTTGCTTATCCACATACCAAAGACGCAAATGTAAGAGTATGAGCTATTTTATTCGTAGTGTTTAAATTTAATAGAGAAATTATTAAGAAAAAATTGTCAAAGATTAGATGTCCAACGGAAATAATTCGAATGACACTTGAGAATACGGGGGAATATTGTTGATTTGGGCCTTTTTTGGTCCAAAATTTTGAGAAATGGAATGAATACCCATACTTACTCATTTAGGTATTTTGGGCTTCGTCAAAAGACCGTTTTGCCCCTGCCTATTCTTCTCCTTCTTTCTTCTCGACATTGACTCTGCGGCTCCTCCGACCAAAATTTTCGATTCCGACCACAACCTTCCCTGTCTCAGTCAAATCCATCAACACCATATTCGTGCTCCATCAACATTATATCTGTTACTTTCAACACCACACCTCTTTTGTTTCCGAACACACAAATCCGAAACACAAAACCTCCGCCGCTAACATCTTTTCCGATCCCATGAATTCAATCAATTGTGTTTTGAATAAAGAAGCTAAACCCTAGGGGATACTATCTAGTAAACCCAAGGGTTCAAATCGAAACATAAATCAAATCAAAACTACTTAATCTATCTTTAAATCTAAACAAAATTTGTCATTAGATCTCATCATCTCCTCATCCGTCACTGGATCTCATCATCATCACCACCATTTTGTTTACAGTGTCTTCATCTTCGTCTCATCTCTTGACCAACACCACCGGATTTTGATCGACACCATCATCTCTGACATTTCTCACAAAAACACACAAAACTGTGGGTAAGGGTAATGTAGACATTTCAAGTCAGGAGAAAATGCCTAAAACCAAAGACTTGGCAGATGTACCGGATGTCGTAAGTTTTGCTGAGAAAAAGCCCATTCCGGTAATTAAATCTATTAAATACTATGGTATCCAGTCCGGATGAATGTACGAAACTAAACCCATAAACCTATTGCAGTGCGTACCGAGTTGATCCTTGTAATTCATGTAGAGATTTTTAGTGTTAAGTATACTATGCTATTTTGATTAAGTGTTATTTCTTTCTTTCACAAAAATTATCGATTTAGAATATATTTTTTACTGTTCGGATCTTTAAAGTAATTCATTTTATTATGGTAAAAACTAATAAAAATATAACATAAGATAAAATTTCAAGTGTCAATTTATTTAATGTATTGTAAAAAATTGAACATTCATTTTAATTTTTTAAAATATATGTGAAAATATCAAAACAGGAGGAGTATAAAGAGAGTAACTATATGATAAAATAAAAATAAATTAGTTAGATGTCACTAATATATCTTGGTATTAGAAACTAACAAGTCCAAAACTTCATTTGTTAAATTAAAAGGGTTATAATTTTATTATAAATAACCTTCTGTTATATATAGTCTTTATATATATGTTTAATAAATTTGATGTAAAGGGTATATAAAATGAACAAAAAATAAGAAACAAATGTCATTAATCCATCAACAATAGAAAAAAAAATCCCAGAGTCCATAAATCTGTGATTCACAAAGTACATCGAATATAAAAAAAATGTAAAAACCAATACTGTTAAATTAAATGATATATAACACAAACTATATACACAAACCATTTAAAAAAAAATCCATATTTGAGAAGAAAAAAAAGAAGAAGAGAAGAAATAAAAGATTCACACACCTTATAATATACAAGAAGATTTATATATGGCCATATGCATGTTGCTGAGGCTGGAGCTGGTTACATGGCCACATACCAACATTTGTAGCCTCTGTACCAAAAAAATTGGTCTCTGATTTTATATCACTGTATAACGACGAATTTGAATGATTCTGTAACGAATTATTCGATATTGTGAATGGATTTTGATTTTCCTCCATTGTTATTCCCCAGTTCGGATTCCCATTTCCAAAGAATGTTGAATTGTTGTAGTTACTCTCTTGAAGTTGCTGATGCTCTGTCATCATTGGCCCGGTAGAGAATGAGTTTTCCAATTCAATTAAACCGAGATTGGATGATCTGTAACCGGTTAAACTGGAAGAGAACATTGAACCGGGTAACACCACTGCACTAGGGATGGTTTCATCGACATGATGATGATGGTTTCTTCCGGTTTGGGGAATCCAGATGCCGAGGTCAGAACCGGTTGCGATTCTTGAACCGTTTTCTAGACTTAACCGTTGAAAACCGAAATTTCCGGTATAAAGATGATCAGTGTTGTTGTTTTGGTTAGTACTGCAAGTAGTGGTACTAGAGGAACCATCAGTCTCAACAAGGTAGGTCTGTTGACTCTTCTCAACCGGTTTGGGTTTGTCATCTGTGCCGGTTTCGATTTCGGTTAAGAGCTTGTGTGTAACCGGGTCAATTCCTCTCAGCCTCAATTTCTTCTTCAAACAAGAATTCCAAAGATTCTTGATTTCATTGTCGGTTCTTCCAGGAAGTTGTGCAGCTATCTGAGACCACCTGAACCAAACCAAACCAAAACAACATCAGTTATATATACTATATTCAGATATATGAGAAAGAACGGTATGAAGTTCTTTACCTATTGCCAAGAACGGCATGAAGTTCAATAATGAGATTTTCTTCATCTTGAGAAAATGCTCCTCGCTTCAAATCTGGTCTTAAATAATTTATCCATCTTAATCTACAGCTTTTTCCACATCTCTGCAAACCTACAAATTTTTTTTTATAAAATTTTAATTTCAAGAATATATAATTAAACCAAACAAGGATAAATTTGGATAAAGAAAATAGAAATAAACATACCAGCTTGTTTAGGGACAGAGCTCCAGCAACCATGACCATACTTAGTGATGTAACGAAGAAGCTTCTCATCTTCTTCAGGAGACCAAAGTCCTTTCCTCAGTTTCTGTTTATAACAGCATGAATGTCTCCCCATCTATATATATGTAAATAAAATTACAAAGAAAGAATCAATTCAAGATCGATCGTTTTTGTGTTTTCTTCTTCAGAAAAAGTTTATGAAGTCAGCTTTCAGAGAAATCTTTAGTTCATAATATGAGGTGAGAGAGAAAGATAGAGAAAGTTTGAAGTTAGAAGATGAGAAAAGGAGAGGAGGATTTGGGGAATATAAACAAAAGGGTTTTTGTTTTGGTACGTTGAAGTTTACTCGAGTCAATTTTTTTTTTTTTTTCGGTTCTAGCTCATTGGTAGTATTTTAGAATAAGCTAATCAGTGATTGAAAAGTGAAATAAATTTATGTAAAATAAAATATAATATATCAGGAAACAGAAAAATGATATGATTTTATCTATTTTATAGAAGTAAAACTTCATGGCTGATATTGAGTAATACTTTGAGAATTAAATTTTCTATAAATGAATATCAATCCCACATATATTTGATATAGTAAGTATGGATATAAAAGTCACACTTTTCAGTTTTCAGTAACTTATGAAAAAGAATAAAAGCAGAGATAATACTTTAAAAGCTATGAAAAGGATGTGACTGTGTTGAAGTAAAATTATTTGCTTAGTTTCTTCTTCAAGGTTTGATTTGCGAACCACACGCTATCCTTTTGTTTGGGAAAAATCGTATATAGATGGAATATATATTTATTATTGATTTGTATTTTTAAAAATATTGGGGTTGAACTTTATTTAGAACGTTGTCCACAGCTTGTATATTTCGCATTTATGATTTGTAATAAATGTGGGTCGCGTCTAATTGTTCTACATAATTATTTTTCCAGCCATTAAGTTCTTCGACATGAAAAAGAGTCTATTCAGCGGATAACATTTTACGAATTTATTTGGAACAATAAGAAAGTTTCATGAATAATTAATGTACCACTACTAGTTTCGTTGTTCAGTATATTATCCCTTTAGCGAAAATAGAAAGAGTTTCTATATTGTAAGGAAAACTAAACATTTACGAATTTACCTCATATGTTAAAATCTTCATATCACGATGGAAAGTTCTTTGAAAAATTGACACTACATATTTATATTGTAATATATACCCCATATGTAAACAGGAAGTTATTTTTTAATCCGGAGGGAAATAATTAATAATTCGTTCCAATGATTAAAGTTAACAAAACATAAGAATTCAATTTTATATTCATTCAACTGAATATTTAATCACTTCTAAAGAGTGTTTAACTAAGTCTGAACCAATATAATATTTTGCCAGGCATAAAACACACAATGATTCCGCGCCATTATTGGTTATACATATATTTAATCTACTTATGTGCATAAAAATATAATATTAGTACCTTTGCTCTCTTTAATGTTTATATTAGTACTTGACTTGCAATAACTAATTACAACTACACCTAGAACATATAAAATGAGCGAATATATCATTGTTTTATCATACTCAAACGAGTAATTGTCGTTTAATTTTTTTTACTAAGATTAGTATTATTTTATTCAAACACTTTGGTATCTTTATTTCATGCAGAAACCAAATTATAACGCCATATTTCGCTTATTTTTTTTATTTTTTTTATAAAGTTATTCATGTTTTGTAGAAACCATTACATGTACCTTCTACTCCGGCCGTCTAAAATTGTAAAATAGTAGGAGATCAGAGAATCTCAAGTTTCATAATACCAAAAGACATACATTGTCAATAACTAGATATTGATATGAAGAATTGATGTCAACTTATTTGTTTAGTTTAGAAATCTTATATTAAAATATTTTGTTCATTATCATAAAAAAGTAAAGTAAGAAAAGATTCGGTGTCTAAACCATGGCCTTCAACATAATAAAAGAGGAATCTTCATGGAATATAAGCCAAGTCTCGGAGGCGGCTTTGATAAAATGTAACATCAATTATTGACGTACCATCATAATTATAACTAGGATAATATCTCAAAGTATCAAAATAAAACCTTTGATTTATAAAATATAACAAATTTTAAAAGAAAATCTTCTTAGACCTTTTTTTTACCACAACAGATTTACAATTACACAAAGCGACTTCCAAATCTTTTGTGGTGTTTTGAGAGAAATTTTTGTTATAATGTTATATTTATAGTATAATCATAGAATATATGAATTATTCATGGTATTTTTCAACAATTGTTTATGTTTTGCAATATTATTGCTATTACTGTATCTTTTTTAACATGGATTGGAAACCAAACACTTTAGAAATCAGGACATCTATCAAATAGGCCCGGCTCAACTTTTGGTTGGACCTTGTGCTAAGAATTTTTTTTTTTTTTTGTTAGTACATGTTAAAAAAAAAAAAAAAGGTGGACCCTTTTATTTTAGGAAAAAAGCAAAAAAAAAAAAAAAGACCCTGTGCTAGTGCACTCTAAGCACATGCATAGAGCCGGCACTGCTATCAAATGATGAGCCCGTTTCGAGCCCACATTGATGAGCCTACTTTTGATAGTCAACCAATGTTGACAAGAAATAGTTACATCTAACGATAGGCACAACATTAGTGTACAGTAAGTTCTATAGACGCGAAGCAGAGGAATCAGAAAATTGTGGAGCCGAATGGAGAAACGGAGAAGGACAGAGGCAAAGGCATGTGATACACTGTGACTTTGGTGGATCCCAAAAAAAAAAAAAACGTATCTCGACTCATCCTTGTAGGACCTTTTTCTGTCTCAAACCCAAGTTTAAGACTACACGTGTAAGCCGTGTAGGCTTCTATTTGAATTTTATAAACTTTTGTTTACATTTTCATTAGACTGTTGAATTTAATTTTTCATTTTATAAACCAATCTAAAATTTCAATTTACTATATGACACAGTAATAGTTATATTTCGTTTTAAGGATCGGCTAACGCCCACACAATTAGTATACCAAATCGATTTCGTTATGGGAAGTTATGAGTATATATTGGTTTAAAAAATTGTATTGTCCCTCCATGTAAAAAGAATTTCAATAGAGAGAAATTTTTGAAAAAGGTCTAGAGAGAGTAAAACGTGTGGGACAGTTTTTTTTGTTTGTTTTTTTTTTTTTTTGGAAAAGTTAAGAGAAACCTTGAACAGTGGCAAAAATAGCTAACATCCATTTGTAATTTTTTTTTGTTCTCGTCAAAACATAGTCATTATATTAGATATAGGAGAAATCACAGTGTAATGCGTTTGAGATTACATTAGAAACAAGAGAGTAAAAGAAAAATTGAGAGTTTTGGGGAATATGATGTTTGGCTAGCATATCCGCTAGGCCTGGGCACGAACCGGATATCCGGAAAAATTGTGATATTTGTTATTCGATTCGTTTTAACCGAATACCTGATTTTGTGATTTGCTTTGATTCGAAAATTTCTGGATATCCGGAAATTCGAATATCCAGATTTTTTTGTGACATTTGCGGATATCCGCTTTGATAAATATAAATATTTAAAAAAATCTGTAAACTATATAACCATATCAGATATTTAAAGTTTTTATTTAACATGCTTTCACAATAAGTTCCAAATATCAAACATAACTGTTGTTGTTATCACCGGTCAACAAAATGTTATCAAACTAATTCCAAAAACCAAAACCCGATAGATTAAGATGTCATTGATCAAAACATAACATTAAAGAAAAATTATAAAACAAACATTTTAACATAAAAACATAAGGTAACAATAATACACAAACTATTTATGATATCTATATATAGACATAACTATATATTTTAATATATATCAAAAGATACGGATCGAATCGGATATTCGATTTTTTAAAAAGCAATATTTGTTATTTGCTTTGCTTTTTACGAATACTACATTTTCCTATTTGCTTTGGTCTGAAATCTTACGGATAGTCGGATTTTTTGAATCAAATCAAATCGAATACCGAATCGAAGCGGATCGAACGAATTTTTTGCCCAGGCCTGATATCCGTAGGCATGTTTGTAATTTATTTTCTGACTTTTGCGTCCAATTTTCAGCCAAATAATACACCAATTCTATCATTAAAATGGAGTAAGGTTATGGAGAATGACACACTTCTAAATCCACTAAACACTAAGTTAAGGTTTAAATACTTCTTTGACCAAGCTAAAAACTATTTGTCTTTCCATAAAAGTCGACTCTAGTCTTCGACAAACCACATATCCATTTATGACTTGAGCGTGATAAGTTTTTTTGGGTCGACAATTCCTTTTTTTTATCTTGTAAAGGATCATTTTGATCATATTGGGTCGAAAAAAATCAAAGAAATCGAGCACAACTGACTTTAATGGTCGAATTGGTTACTCTATGCTCACCGGCAATCGAGCACAACCGAGTTCTGTGTGGCGAACAAATTTACTAGTCTAGTGCAAACATATTAATTTGTTTTATGCCCTTTTGATTATTATTATTTTGGGTTATTAATCTTCAAGTATTCCTCTCTTATTTTGGCACCCTAATAAGTCGCATGCATTAGTTAATGGAAATTTTTCATAGATTCCCTAATATTTGAATGCTACTTAAACCCTTAGCAATTTGTCTGGTACGAAAATGGAGATGAGATTATGGACAAATTAAAGAATTAATGAATTAACAAATCAAACGAATATATATAATCAGGAATAAAATCCTTTTGGGATCATCATTTACTCTTTAGCTTATCATAATGCAAGCACATGATATGTTTTCTCTCCAGTCAACTATTGTCTCTTTGGCGAATTGATTAATCAATTATCCACTAAAAATTTTACAATATAATAACAATAGACCATAGAAACAAGACAAAAACCCTAGTCTTTGTTTCTCTCTCGAGACAGCCGCCAGTGGAAAAAAAAAAAAAAGTTCTAGAATCTGAGGCTGGATTGCGGTGGCTCTCCTAGCACCGGATCCGGCCTCCTCGCCCCTGTTATAGTTTTGCTTTTGTTTCTCGTTTTATGTTTGATGAGGCTGTGATTGAAGATCCGAGAAGGCGAGATGGGTTTCTAGGTTGCGGTGGTTCATTTTTGATGAAGCTTCTGGCTTAAGGTTGGGTTGAGTGGTGCTATGAATTGGCGGTTCCTCTCCTCGTCACGACATGGCCTTCGATTTTAGTCTCTTCTCATATCTGATTTTCTCGAGAACAAAATCTGTTTTGTGGAGGAGCTACCGGTGCTTATCGAGGTGGTGTTTTTGGAGAGGCATGTTTCTCGTTTCTGGAAGTGGTGGCGGATGGATCTGCTTTAAGAGTTGGTGTGGTGGTCTCTTGCGGATGTTAGGTTGTGGCTTTGTCTGTTGTTGGCCGCCGCCGGTGGTTGCGAGGTGACAGAGACTTTTCGTTTCTGTTCCTTGTCGGGTTGAAACTCATATTGCCTTTCTCTTATCGGATGGTTTTAGCTGTTTGTTTGTGTTAGCTTCTGGTAGTTGTT